ACTTCTCGGCTGACCGGGCATAGACCTCCTCCCTCCGTCTCGCGGTTCTTCTACGCTTACATCAAAGGCTTGGACCCGTGATCTCTGTGCAGCCAATCGTGTGCTTACCTGTGTCCCACCCCTCCGAAGCTCCTAAGTTATTGTTTTGGTTCATAGTTACTTCACTTCCATTGTGCCCCCCCACTCACCCAGCGCTATCTGTGAGCATGGGTAATAAAGGTCGTTGAAGCGACTTCTGGGATCCGGTCTTTATTTGTCTTTCGTTCACAACACTCCCATCTTACTGGACCCCCGCTCTCGCGTAGCCTCTTCCCTTCGTTCGTTCGTTCCAGTTCTGACCATGTGTTGTTCGTCTCCACCCCTTTTAATACCTGGGTCACGTGGTACGTTTCCACCAATCCTGGTTAGCCTCTATGGTATCTTCCAGACTCCACCGTAGGCTCCCGGGACCACGCCCCTGACTCGTCTCCCCATTGGCTGTAGCTAAAGCCAGCAGAACCAATCCTCTACTTACAGCTGTCACCTTTCCATTATGTCAGGTCCACGCCCCTAGGCTTCCCCCCATTGGCTATGGACCAGGACCGGCAGAGCCAATCATCATGACGAGTTGTAATCCGTCAATGACCCGGATATATCCTCACATTACACATGTATCACTCACCGCGGGGGACAGGGCAATTCTTTGACAACACAATATGGGGTCGGATTCCACGGGGTGCCCACGCCTCAATTATTGCCCCGTCGAGCTCTCGCCAATATCTCGACGGCCATTGTCTACATTGCCACGGATTAAAATTTGACCCACCAAGTGACCTCAACAGGACCCATTGTGTGGGTGGTGCAATCAATCATGGGGCGGGCGGGCGGGGGGGGCAGAGGTTGGGTTCGGGGATGTAATGGACGTTTGGAGGGTGACGTCATGTGTATTGTGGGTGTGCATTCAATCATGGGGGAGAGGTGGGGGTTTGAGAGGAGTGATGGCCGCCCGCGGGGTGATGGTCGTTGAGTCAGGCGCCGGCTGACCGGCGGCGCCACAAGATTTCCGCGGTAAATGGTCACACTTTTGAATCGTCCGCGATTTTGATTTACCCGCGGCCGGCCTCCCCCGCCATGAGCGCGGATGATCAAGGATCGACTTGTCCTCTAAAACGCGTGGTTGACGTTGATTCTAAATGTGAATTGGGAAGAGCGGAGGACCCGGAGAAAAAATCAACGGGGAGAGAGAGACGCAGACTCCAAATATACAGCAGCAGGCATCGTCAGGATCTGGGATCGAACCCCGCACCTCCTACGTACCAGGCAAAGTAGTTAACACCTCTTGATACCAAATATACAGCATTAGGCATCGCCAGGATCTGGGCTCGAACCCCGCACCTCCTACGTACCAGGCAAAGTAGTTAACATCTCTTGGTACCAAATATACAGCAGCAGGCATCGCCAGGATCTGGGATCGAACCACCGCACCTCCTACGTACCAGGCAAAGTAGTTAACATCTCTTGGTACCAAATATACAGCAGCAGGCATCGTCAGGATCTGGGATCGAATCCATGACCTTGCATAGTGAGAGGCAGATAACATCTCCTGGCCACCACGGTGCCCAGGAAGGGGCGGGGCATACAGAGGAAGGGGGCGTGGCCTGAAGAGGAAAGGGGCGTGGCCCAGAGGGGAGGGGGCGTGGTCCAGAGGGAAAGGGGCTTGGCCCAAAGGGGAAGGGGCTTGTCCCAGAGGAGAAGGAACGTGGCCCAGAGGGAAAGGGGGCATGTCCCAGAGGGGAAGGGGGCGGGGCTTGCAGAGGATGAACTTTGGCGACCACCCACGCAAGTGGCGCGGAACCCTCAAACCCTCCCGACCCTCCTCACCCTCCTCACCCTCCTCACCCTCCCGAACCTCCTCACCCTCCTCACCCTCCCGAACCTCCTCACCCTCCCGAACCTCCTCACCCTCATCACCCTCCTCACCCTCCTCACCCTCCCACCCCACCTCACCCTCATCCCCTCCTCACCCTCCTCACCCTCCCGAACCTCCTCACCCCTCCTCACCCTCCCGAACCTCCTCACCCTCCCGAACCTCCTCACACTCCTCACCCTCCTCACCCTCCCGAACCTCCTCACCCTCCTCACCCTCCCGAACCTCCTCACCCTCCTCACCCTCCTCACCCTCCTCACCCTCCCGAACCTCCTCACACTCCCGAACCTCCTCACCCTCCTCACCCTCCCGAACCTCCTCACACTCCCGAACCTCCTCACCCTCCTCACCCTCCCGAACCTCCTCACACTCCCGAACCTCCTCACCCTCCTCACCCTCCCGAACCTCCTCACCCTCTCATCACCCTCACACCTCCCGAACCTCCTCACCCTCATCACCCTCCTCACCCTCCTCACCCTCCCGAACCTCCTCACCCTCCTCACCCTCCTCACCCTCATCACCCTCCCGACCCTCCTCACCCTCCCGAACCTCCTCACCCTCCTCACCCTCCCGAACCTCCTCACCCTCCTCACCCTCCCAACCCTCCTCTTGCACCGAAGTCCACGAAGCTCCAACCACGAGGGGGTTTATAATTATTTATTCATTGAGACCGGCACAGGGAACGCAATTTACACCGCAATGACGACGACCGCACAACGACGACGACCGGAGCGACAAAGACGACGACGACCGTGAGATGATGATGACCGTGCGACGATGACGACGACGGTGAGATGATGATGACCGTGGCGACGACAATGACGATGATGACCGTGCGATGACGATGACAACAACGACGATGACGATGAACTGTACAGGGATATTTATTCGCACCGAGCACCTAAAGTAAAAATACCAGTGGCTGCGGGGTCCCCCACAAGGACTCCCTCCCCCAGTGGGGTTCACTGCTGTTGCCTCCTCCTTCTACAGTGTGAGAGTGAGTCAGTGTGAGAGTGAGTCAGTGCTGAGTGTGAGTCAGTGTGAGTGAGTCAGTGTGAGAGTGAGTCAGTGTGGGTGGGAGTCAGTGTGAGAGTGAGTCAGTGTGGGTGTGAGACAGTGTGGGTGTGAGACAGTGTGAGAGTGAGTGAGTGTGAGAGTGAGTGAGTGTGAGAGTGAGTCATTGTGGGTGTGAGTCAGTGTGGGTGTGAGTCAGTGTGGGTGTGAGTCAGTGTGGGTGTGAGTCAGTGTGGGTGTGAGTCAGTGCTGAGTGCGAGTCAGTGTGAGAGTGAGTCAGTGTGAGAGTGAGTCAGTGTGAGAGTGAGTCAGTGTGGGTGTGAGTCAGTGTGGGTGTGAGTCAGTGTGAGAGTGAGTGAGTGTGAGGGTGAGTCAGTGTGAGAGTGAGTGAGTGTGGGTGTGAGTCAGTGTGGGAGTGAGTCAGTGTGTGTCAGTGGCCGAGTGACTGAGTCAGTGTGAGAGTGCCGAGCCTATGGTCACTCTGTGGGTGTGAGTGAGTGCTGAGTGAGTGGTCACTCTGCGGGTGTGCGTGAGTGCTGAGTGGGTGGTCACTCTGTGAGTGTGAGTGAGTGCTGAGTGAGTGGTCACCCTGTGAGTGTGAGTGAGTGGTCACTCTGTGGGTGTGAGTGAGTGCTGAGTGAGTGGTCACTCTGCGGGTGTGAGTGAGTGCTGAGTGGGTGGTCACTCTGTGGTGTGAGTGAGTGCTGAGTGAGTGGTCACTCTGTGGGTGTGAGTGAGCGCTGAGTGAGTGGTCACTCTGTGGGTGTGAGTGAGTGCTGAGTGAGTGGTCACTGTGGGTGTGAGTGAGTGGTCACTCTGTGGGTGTGAGTGAGTGCTGAGTGAGTGGTCACTCTGTGGGTGTGAGTGAGTGCTGAGTGAGTGGTCACTCTGTGGGTGTGAGTGAGTGCTGAGTGAGTGGTCACTCTGTGGGTGTGAGTGCTGAGTGAGTGGTCACTCTGTGGGTGTGAGTGAGTGCTGGGTGGGTGGTCACTCTGTGGGTGTGAGTGAGTGCTGAGTGAGTGGTCACTCTGTTAGTGTGAGTGAGTGCTGAGTGAGTGGTCACTCTGTGGGTGTGAGTGAGTGCTGAGTGAGTGGTCACTCTGTGGGTGTGAGTGAGTGCTGAGTGGGGTGGTCACTCTGTGGGTGTGAGTGAGTGAGTGCTGAGTGAGTGGTCACTCTGTGGGTGTGAGTGAGTGCTGAGTGGGTGGTCACTCTGTGGGTGTGAGTGAGTGCTGAGTGAGTGGTCACTCTGTGAGTGTGAGTGAGTGCTGAGTGTGGTCACCCTGTGAGTGTGAGTGAGTGCTGAGTGGGTGGTCACTCTGTGGGTGTGAGTGAGTGCTGAGTGAGTGGTCACTCTGTGAGTGTGACTGAGTGCTGAGTGAGTGGTCACTCTGTGGGTGTGAGTGAGTGCTGAGTGAGTGGTCACTCTGTGTGAGTGAGTGCTGAGTGTGGTCACCCTGTGAGTGTGAGTGAGTGCTGAGTGAGTGGCCTCTCTGTGGGTGTGAGTGAGTGCTGGGTGGGTGGTCACTCTGTGGGTGTGAGTGAGTGCTGAGTGAGTGGTCACTCTGTGGGTGTGAGTGAGTGCTGAGTGGGTGGTCACTCTGTGGGTGTGAGTGAGTGCTGAGTGAGTGGTCACTCTGTGAGTGTGAGTGAGTGCTGAGTGAGTGGTCACTCTGTGGGTGTGAGTGAGTGCTGAGTGGGTGGTCACTCTGTGGGTGTGAGTGAGTGCTGAGTGGGTGGTCACTCTGTGGGTGTGAGTGAGTGCTGAGTGAGTGGTCACTCTGTGAGTGTGAGTGAGTGCTGAGTGTGGTCACCCTGTGAGTGTGAGTGAGTGCTGAGTGGGTGGTCACTCTGTGGGTGTGAGTGAGTGCTGAGTGAGTGGTCACTCTGTGAGTGTGACTGAGTGCTGAGTGAGTGGTCACTCTGTGGGTGTGAGTGAGTGCTGAGTGAGTGGTCACTCTGTGTGAGTGAGTGCTGAGTGTGGTCACCCTGTGAGTGTGAGTGAGTGCTGAGTGAGTGGCCACTCTGTGGGTGTGAGTGAGTGCTGGGTGGGTGGTCACTCTGTGGGTGTGAGTGAGTGCTGAGTGAGTGGTCACTCTGTGGGTGTGAGTGAGTGCTGAGTGGGTGGTCACTCTGTGGGTGTGAGTGAGTGCTGAGTGGGTGGTCACTCTGTGGGTGTGAGTGAGTGCTGAGTGAGTGGTCACTCTGTGGGTGTGAGTGAGTGCTGAGTGAGTGGTCACTCTGTGAGTGTGAGTGAGTGCTGAGTGAGTGGTCACTCTGTGAGTGTGACTGAGTGCTGAGTGAGTGGTCACTCTGTGGGTGTGAGTGAGTGCTGAGTGAGTGGTCACTCTGTGTGAGTGAGTGCTGAGTGTGGTCACCCTGTGGGTGTGAGTGAGTGCTGAGTGAGTGGCCACTCTGTGGGTGTGAGTGAGTGCTGGGTGGGTGGTCACTCTGTGGGTGTGAGTGAGTGCTGAGTGAGTGGTCACTCTGTGGGTGTGAGTGAGTGCTGAGTGGGTGGTCACTCTGTGGGTGTGAGTGAGTGCTGAGTGGGTGGTCACTCTGTGGGTGTGAGTGAGTGCTGAGTGAGTGGTCACTCTGTGGGTGTGAGTGAGTGCTGAGTGAGTGGTCACTCTGTGAGTGTGAGTGAGTGCTGAGTGAGTGGTCACTCTGTGGGTGTGAGTGAGTGCTGAGTGGGTGGTCACTCTGTGGGTGTGAGTGAGTGCTGAGTGAGTGGTCACTCTGTGTGAGTGAGTGCTGAGTGTGGTCACCCTGTGGGTGTGAGTGAGTGCTGAGTGAGTGGCCACTCTGTGGGTGTGAGTGAGTGCTGGGTGGGTGGTCACTCTGTGGGTGTGAGTGAGTGCTGAGTGAGTGGTCACTCTGTGGGTGTGAGTGAGTGCTGAGTGGGTGGTCACTCTGTGGGTGTGAGTGAGTGCTGAGTGGGTGGTCACTCTGTGGGTGTGAGTGAGTGCTGAGTGAGTGGTCACTCTGTGGGTGTGAGTGAGTGCTGAGTGAGTGGTCACTCTGTGGGTGTGAGTGAGTGCTGAGTGGGTGGTCACTCTGTGGGTGTGAGTGAGTGCTGAGTGAGTGGTCACTCTGTGGGTGTGAGTGCTGAGTGAGTGGTCACTCTGTGGGTGTGAGTGAGTGCTGAGTGAGTGGTCACTCTGTGGGTGTGAGTGAGTGCTGAGTGAGTGGTCACTCTGTGGGTGTGAGTGAGTGCTGAGTGGGTGGCCGTTCTCATATTGAGGGGGGGGGGGGGAGGGGGCCGCGCCACGAATCCGAAATTTGTACAAATTTTAACAACGAAAGATTATCTGCAGATTAAGCACTCAGTTGGGATGACACAAAGACAGCTGTCACTGGGGATGCCCCTAGGCTATAGACCCACACAGCAGCAGCAATCATCGCGCGCTGCTCCGATAACTCGGGAAGGACCCTTCTGGAAACGAGCCTTGAGTTTGTGGTGAGAGGTGAGTGAGCAGCGTGTGGGATGGTGAGCGAGAGGGTGGGTGAGTGGGTGATTGAGTGGGTTGGTGAGTGGGCGGGTGAGTGGGTGGGTGAGTGGGTTGATGAGTGGACGAGTGGGTGGGTGAGTGGAAGGGTAGATGAGTGAGAGGGCAGGTGAGCGGGTGGGTGAGTTGTTTGGTGGGTGGGTGAGTGGATTGGTGAGTGGGTTTGTGAACAGAGAGTGGGTGGGAGGGAGTGAGTTGTTGGGTGGGTGAGTGAGAGGTTGGGTGAGTGGGTTGGTGAGTGGACGAGTGGGTGGGTGAGTGGTGAGGTGTGGCCGTGCCTCACACAGTGAGGAGCCAAAGGAAGATGACGATGGCGACGATGATGAAGAAGACTTCGTGGAGGTTGTGTGGGGAGAGGAGCAGAGGGGCCGCTCCACCTGCAGAGACACGGAGAAGCAGAGACAGAGACACAGTGACCCAGCGAAATGAACACAGTGACACAGAGACACATACACAGAGACACAAAGACACAGAGACACGTACACAGAGAGACACGTACACAGAGACAGAGAGAGACACAGAGACACGTACACAGAGACACAGTGACACAGAGACACAGAGACACGTACACAGAGACACAGTGACACAGAGACACAGAGACACGTACACAGAGACACAGAGACACGTACACAGAGACAGAGAGACATAAAGAGACAGAGACACAGAGAAACAGAGACACAGAGACATGTACACAGAGACACAGAGACAGAGAGACACAGACACACAGAGACTCGGAGACACAGAGACACAGAGACACAGAAACACAGAGACACAGAGACACAGAGACTCGGAGACACAGAGACACGGAGACACAGAGACACAGAGACACAGAGACACAGAGACACGTACACAGAGACACGTACACAGAGACACAGGGACACAGAGACACAGAGACAAATACACATAGACACATAGAAACATAGACATAGAGACACAGAGACACGGAGACACAGAGACTCAGAGACACAGAGATACAGACAGAGACACAGTGACACAGGGACACAGGGACACGTACACAGAGACACAAAGACACGGAGACACAGAGACGCAGAGAGACACAGAGACACAGAGACACAGTGACACGTACACAGAGACTCAGAGACTCAGAGACAGAGAGACACAGAGGCAGGTACACAGAGACACGTACACAGAGACAGAGAGACAGAGACACGGAGACACGGAGACACAGAGACACATACACAGTGACACAAGAGAGACAGAGACACAGAGACACAGGGAGACAGAGACAGAGACACGTACACAGAGACATGTACACAGAAACACGTACACAGAGACACAGATACACAGTGACACAGTGACACAGAGACACAGAGACACAGAGACACGTACACAGAGACACAGTGACACAGAGACACAGAGACACAAAGACACGTACACATAGACACAGAGACACGTACACAGAGACACAGAGAGACACAGACACACGGAGACACAGAGAGACACAGAAACACAGTGACACGTACACAGAGACTCAGAGACACAGAGACAGAGAGACACAGAGACACTGTGACACAGAGACACAGAGACACAGAGACACAGGGACACAGAGACACAGGGACACAGGGACACAGGGACACAGACAGAGACTCAGAGACAGAGAGACACAGAGACACAGAGACACGTACACAGAGACACAGATACACGTACACAGTGACACAGGGGCACAGAGACACAGAGACACAGTGACACATACACAGAGACTCAGAGACATAGAGACATAGAGACACAGATACAGAGACACGTACACAGAGACACGTACACAGAGACACAGACAGACAGAGACACAGAGATACGGAGACACGAAGACACGGAGACACAGAGACACAGAAACACAGAGACACAGAGACACGTACACAGAGACAGACACAGAGACACAGACACACAGAGACACGTAGACAGAGAGACAGAGAGACATAAAGACATAGAGACACAGAGACACACAGAGACACAGAGACACATACACAGTGCCACAAGAGAGACAGAGACACAGAGACACAGGGAGACACAGAGACAGAGACACGTACACAGAGACACAGACACATTTACACAGAGACACGTACACAGAAATACAGAGACACAGATACACAGTGACACAGAGACACAAAGACACGTTCACAGAGACACAGAGAGACAGAGACACAGAGACACGTACACAGAGACACAGAGACACGTACACAGAGACACAGAGACACAGAGACAGAAAGACACAGACACAGAGAGACACAGAAACACAGTGACACGTACACAGAGACTTAGAGACACAGAGACAGAGAGACACAGACACAGAGAGACACAGAAACACAGTGACACAGAGACACAGATACACAGGGACACAGACAGAGACTCAGAGACAGAGAGACAGACACACAGAGACACAGGGACACAGAGACACAGGGACACAGACAGAAACTCAAGAGACACAGAGACAGAGAGATACAGACACACAGAGACACAGAGACACGTACAGAGACACAGAGACACGTACACAGTGACACAGGGACACAGAGACACAGAGACAACAGTGACACGTACACAGAGACTCAGAGACATAGAGACATAGAGACACAGTTACAGAGACACGTACACAGAGACACAGACACACATACACAGAGACACAGACAGACAGAGACACAGAGATACGGAGACACGAAGACACAGAGACACAGAGACACAGACAGACAGACACAGAGATACGGAGACACGAAGACACAGAGACACAGAGATATAGAGACACGTACACAGAGACACAGACACACAGAGACACGGAGACACGGAGACACAGAGACACACAGAGATGTACATGAGACACAGAGACACACAGAGACAGAGACACAGGGAGACAGAGACACAGAGACACGTACACGAGACACAGAGACACAGGGAGACACAGAGGCACGGACACAGAGACACAGAAACACGGAGACACAGAGTCACATGAATCCGTGAGTACCCCACGCTGTGACCCACATTCGATTCCAGCTCACGGCCAACACCACTGATGATCATCTCAACCGGTCCTGGGCCTCCCCTAGGTCGACTCAGCCTCAAATGAGTACCCGGTGCAGTGGGTAAACACCGCCACTGGGGAGACAAAGGCGGCCGAGCGAGGTGCTAGACACCCACCCCCTTTGTGTGTGCCACAGTGTCGGCCTTCATAGGTGCTGCTACTCGCTACTAACACCACTTGCCCCTACAGCCTGTTAAGGTGTGTGAGGGTGAGTGTGGGTGAGTGTGGATGAGTGTGGGTGAGTGTGGGTGAGTGTGAGTGAGTGTGAGTGACTGTGAGTGACTGAGTGAGTGACTGAGTGAGTGACTGTGAGTGAGAGTGACTGAAGGCGACTGTGAGTGACTGTGTGTGAATGACTGAGTGACTGACTGAGTGACTGAGTGAGTGACTGTGTCAGTGAAGGTGCTACTCGCTAACAAACTTGCCTCCAGCAGTCTGTTGCAGGCTAACAGGGTGGGGGGTGGGGGAGCGGGGCTTTACCTGTTGTACCGGAGCGGTTACAAACAGGTTTAAACCGGTTCAACGTTTACAATGTTCGAGAGCGGTCACTCGAGAGATGCTTTGTGAACTCTGTGGTCAGGAGGATCTTGCCCGGGTTCTGCTCTTACTAAGGCAGCGGGAGACAGAGGCGGCCAGGGAGGGAGGCGATGCTTCTACTGCTGCTGCTGCTCTGAGGTCTCGGGTTGCAGGGGATGCTGAGAGACCCAGAGACCCATAGAGACCCACAGAGACCCACAGAGATCCATAGAGACCCACAGAGATCTATAGAGACCCACAGAGATCCATAGAGACCCACAGAGACCCATAGAGACCCACAGAGACCCATAGAGACCCACAGAGACCCATAGAGACCCACAGACCCATACAGACCCACAGAGACCCATAGAGACACACAGAGATCCATAGAGACCCACAGAGATCCATAGATACCAACAGAGATCCACAAAGACCCACAGAGACCCATAGAGACCCACAGAGATCCATAGAGATCCACAGAGATCCACAAAGATCCAGAGACCCATACAGACCCACAAAGACTCAGAGACCCACAGACACATACAGATCCACAGAAACCCATACAGACCCACAGACACATACAGACCCAGAGACCCACAGAGACCCATACAGATCTACAGAGACCCATAGACACACAGAGACCCCTACAGAGCGACCGACACATACAGATCCACAGAAACCCATACAGACCCACCGAGACCCATACAGACCCACAGACCCATACAGACCCACAGAGACCCACACAGACCCACAGAGACCCACACAGACCCACAGAGACCCATAGAGACCCACACAGACCCATACAGACCCACAGAGACCCATAGAGACCCACACAGACCCATACAGACCCATAGAGACCCATACAGACCCACAGAGACCCACACAAACACACAGAGACATATACTCATAATAAAGGTTTTTGGGTTAGATCGCGTTATTTATAAATGTGTCGCAACCCTTGACCACCCAACACGGCCAATCAGTAAAAATTGTGTCACGTAGACAAAAGAGTTCACTACTTTAGCCCACCGGTGTGTTGAAGAGTGGATCCACAACATTTACAATTTGAGAACGACGTTTCGCTCTAAATTACATCCAGCATCTTCGGGCGATTTGCCAGAATAGGCTCTACTCATGAAGACTGACAGAGACCCATACTCATAAAGACTCACATAGTTAACGTCTCGCCACGTGTGGCGCCCTCGGGGAGAGGATATACACGACACGCTCTCACGCTCACTCACCACACAATCGCTCACTCGCTCGCTCGCCCTGCAAGGCAAATCCAGTCATCCACTCACTCACACCAAAGACGAAGACCCCCCCCCCCCCCCCCCCCATGCAGCCTCAACAGACTGTTTGGTGCAAGTGCTGTTAGCGAGCACCGATGAAGACCGGCACGGCACGCCAGGGGGTGGGTGGCCAGTACCACGCCCGGCCCCCTTTGTCTCCCCAGTGGCGATGTTTACTACCCACCGCTCCAAGTAACTCATTTGAGGCTGAGTCGACCTAGGGGAAGGCCTAGGACCGGTTCGGATAATCGCCGTCACTGGTGCTGGTGGCCGTGAGCAGGAATCCAACTCGGGTCACCGGGTTCGTAGCACAGCGTGGCGTTAACCACGACACTACCGCCCCCCACACACCCTCACACCTCCAACAACAACCGCCATTCACTGCTAGGTGGCGGTGAAGTAACCACGGTGCATGTGCCAGGCCAGGTGGACTTCGTGGCCATGTGAAGTGTGGAAGGGTCGCTGCTGGCAAGAGGTCAAGGAACAGACCCAGGTGCGTGGGTGGGTGTGTGAATGGGTGGGTTGGAGGTGGTGTTCCGACTGGTTGAAAGTCAGCGGCAGGTCCACTCCCACCGGCCACAGCATCCCACGTCCGAGAACGAAGCGGCTTAACCGCAGCCTTTGCTCGGAGGTTCGGAGAGCCGTGTGCCGCTGCAAGGGCGAGTGATGCTCGCGAGTTGCTGAGGAGATGGCATCTGCCGCAGCAGTGATCATAAATCAATCTTTAACTTCATCAAAAAGGTAACTTGCAGCACCCCACCTATCACCATCCTTAAGAGAAAGAACGGTGACTTGATCTCTGACCCCCCAGGAACTGGTCTGCTGAACATTTCTGTGAGAAACTGTGGGCAGGAGAATCCCTCAGCCCAGATGACATCATGGGGCAATGTGGGGATGATCCTGCTGAGATCGCCATGCCTCAAATATCGGCAGAAGTAGCCACCCCTTCCGAGTGGTTGGCTGAGGCGCCATACAGAGTTTGAGACCAGGAAAAGTGCCGGGCAGAGATGATCTCCCAAGAAGACTGCTGAGACAGGGTGGTGTTTGTGTGCACTGCCCTATAGCAACATTATTATAACAGTCTGGACCGCTGGATGAGTTCCGCAGGATTGAAAGGATGCCCTGGTGGTCCCCCGATTTAAGAAGGGGGACCTTACAGACTCGAACAACTACAGGGGCATCTCTCGCCTCAGTGTGAGCCCAGAAAAGGTCCTGGCAAGGTTTATTCAACATCACCTTGCTAGGCAACGCGCTGAGGAGAGGCTTTCGGAGCCCGGATGTGGTTTCAGGCAAGGATGGTCCTGCACAGATTCTCTGTCCGTCTGTGACAGGAAAGGTGTAGGGAATTCCAAACGGACCTACATATCTGCTTTATCGACCTGGTCAAGGCCTATGATATCATAAATAGGCCAGGGCTCTGGGTTATTTTTCGTACTTTCGGAGGCCCAAACCATCTGCTCACAATTATTAAGGACATTTCATGAAGGTGGGCAGGCCCGGGTGAAGTTGCGTGGCCGGGAGTTGGAGCCATTCCCTGTTCAACTTCGGGGTGCGACAGGGATGTCCTCTGGCTCCCACATTATTTAACATAATCTTTGACCACGTAATTCAAGAAGCTTTCCATGGCTGTACTGAAGGAATCTCCATATGGTACAGATACAATGGAAGGATTGATTGATGCCTGGGTGTGATTAAAGGATGGCTCCCTATGTGGTAAACCATGTTACGTACACGGATGATCTAGTGATCATCACTAGATCTATAGATCACTAGATCTATCGATCTAGTGATTGCTGCTGACTGAAAGAAGTTGGAGATGCTCCTGTTCAACCTGGAACATGCCACTATGAGATGGAGCCTTACCATCAGCCCTACAAAAACAAAGCACCTGCCTGGGTATTGTCAAACAATGCCCCCCCCCTTCAACCCCCTCCCCCCCCCCCGAGTGATGAGGCAGTTGTGAAGAGAGTGGAGAAGTTCCATACCTGGGCAGTGTGCTTAGGACAAGATCCTATTAAGCAGCAGAGGTCTCACTAAATCAGTCTGGTGGCATTGTTTTGTCATTGGCTGCGTAACGCTACTTGTGTGGAAGCTACCTGGCCTGTCGCTCTGTACAAGGCTCTGCCCTCCCTTCTCTATACTTGTGAGACGTACAGCCCTCTATAAGGAACATTTGTGCCAGTTAGAAACATTCAGGCTGGCTTGCCTACGATCCATCCTGACTTTGACCAGGTTGGATTGTGTGAAGAGCTCACAGCTGCTTGAAAGATCTGAACGCAGTCCCGTCAGTGAGCTACTCCGGCAGGCAAGGCTGCATTGGCTGGGCAATGTCTCTCACATGACCAGCCACAGCATGCCCAAGCAGCTTTTGTTTGTCTGGATAAAGCGGGCTAAACGGGCACAGCATGGGCGAGAGAAGAGATGGACTGATGCTGTGCAGGAGGATATGGAGCTGAGTGTAATTGCCAATTACTGGTATCAGCGGTGTCAAGATCGGCCTCTGTGGGGGAGGCTCGTGAAGGATGCTACTGGGCAGTTGGAGGCAGTCGCCCTCCAGCAACAACGGAGGGTAGAGGAGTGACGCTCACAACAACGAGCGGAGCGCCGGGTGGCTAAAGAGCAGAAAGTTGGAACAGTGGGGAGGACAGGTGGTGGTGCATCTGCAAGTCATCTCAGTCAGTCGACCCATGGTACCTGATGGATCTGACCCATGACCTCCTGCCAGCAGGGCCTTCAACACTTCAGGTGGCCTCCAAGTGCACCTAGCCTGGCACAGGCGCCATGATGCCACTGCCAATTTGTGGTGAAAGCGGTTGTTGTTGTTGATGGTGGTGGTAGCCATGATAGTGGTGGTGGCTGTGGTGGTGGTGGCCGTGGTGGCTGTGGTGGGGGTGGAGGTGGTAGCGGTAGTGGTGATGGCTGTGGTGGTGGCTGTGGTTGGGGTGGTGGCCGCTGTGGTGGTGGCCGTGGTGGTGGTGGCCGTGGTGGCCGTGGTGGTGGTAGCGGTAGTGGTGATGGCTGCGGTGGTGGCTGTGGTTGTGGTGGTGGCCGTGGTGGTGGTGGCTGTGGTAGTGGTGGCCATGGTGGCCGCTGTGGTGGTGGTGGCTGTGGTAGTGGTGGTGGCTGTGGTGGTGGCTTTGGTGGTGGGGGCCGTGCCTAGGCGATAAAGAGCCAGAACATGATGAGCAGGGCGACGTAGAGGAAGATTCGGGACAGGAACTGCTCTTCGGTGTGCTGCGGGGTTCCCGGGACAGCTACGCACACACAGCACACACACAGCACACGCACAGCACACGCACAGCACACGCATAACACACGCACAGCACACACACACATTTACCCTTACACAGTGTACACACAGCACACACATGCACATTTACCAGTACACAGTGCAAACACAGCACACACACACTTACCCGTAGACAGTACACACACACACTTACCAATGCACAGTGCAAGCACAGCACACACACAGCACGCGCACACACAGCACACACACATTTACCCTTACACAGTGCGCACACACACAGCACACACACCCACTAACCCTTACACAGTGCACACACAATACACACACACCCTTACACTACACAATGCACACACAGTAAACGCACATCCTTACACGACACAGTGCACACACAGTACACACATAGCACACCCACTAACCCTTACACAGTGCACACACGGTACACACATACAGCACATACACACTTACCCTTACACAGTGCACACACAGTACACACACACCCTTACACTACACAATGCACACACACAGCACACAGCACAAACACTTACCCTTACACAGTGCACACACAGCCCACACATCACAGCACACGCACAACACAGACGCTTACCCTTACACAGGGCACACACAGTACACACACACCCTTATACTACACAATGCACACAGTACACATACAGCCTACCACCCACTAACCCTTACACAGTGCACACACAGTACACACACTTACCTTGACACAGTGCACACACAGTACACATACAGCACACACACCCTTACAGTGTACACACAGTACACACACACACACCCTTACACTACACAATGCACACACAGTACACACACCCTGCCACTACACAATGTACACACAATACACACACAGCACACCCACTAACCCTTACACAGTGCACACACAGTACACACACACCCTGACACTACAGAATGTACACATTCAGTGCACACCCACTAACCCTGACACTACACAATGCACACACACAATGCACACACACAGTACACACACCCTGACACTACACAATGCACACAAAGTACACACACACCCTTACACTACACAATGCACACACACAGTACACACACACCCTTACACTACACAATGCACACACACACAGTACACACACACCCTTACACAACACAATGCACACACACACAGTACACACACTGAAAGCCTCTCCTCAGCGTGCCTGGCAAAGGGGCGATGTTGAATCATCCTTGCCAGGACCGTTTCTGGCCTCACACCGAGGAGGGAGATACCCCGGAAGTTGGCGCAATCAGTACGGTCATCCTTCCAATCCTGCGGAACCCACCCAGTGGTCCAGACTGTTATTGTGATGTCATGTAGGGCAGTCTGCACACAAACGCCACCCTTCCCTCAGCATTTCGCTTGGGAGATCATCTCAGAATCTGAATCGCCTTCCGTACTTCCTCAACAGATGGCACTTCAGCCAGCTACTTCACAAGGGGTGACTAATTCCTCCAACATTTGATGCACAGCAGGCCCATCAGGGTCCTCCCCACCTTGCCCCATGATGTCGTCTGGGCTGAGGGATTTCCCCTCCCCCAAGACCTCACATAAAAGTTCGGTAAAACCTGCAGACCTAAGGATGGTGATAGGTGCGGTGCTGCAAGTTATTTTTTTTGATCGAGTTAAAGAGTGATTTGTGATCGCGGGCTACTGAGGCAGGTTCCATCTCCTCATTAACCCGCGACCACAAACCCATCCTCGCAGCACCGCATGGCTCTCCGAACCTCCGAGCAAAGGCTGCGGTAAGCCTCCTCATTCTCTGACGTGGGATGCTCTAGAAGGTGAAAGTGGGCCTGTCTCTTTCTCCCAGCCAGCCATAACACCTCCATGGTCAGTCAGGGTCTCCGCGGAGGTCTGGACTGCATACCCAATGTAGCAACTACAGCTGCATGAGGCACAGTCCTGAACCTCACCCATTTCCCCTCGGCATCAACCCCAGCTGCAAGCGATCTTGACATTCTCAATTGGGAACTTTCATCAGCAATTGAGACCAGGCCGCTGTGGGTTTGAATGGGGTCCTAGATGGACAACCCACCACCGGAGTGGAAGAATGGCAGGTGCATCTTATAGATGATAAGCTGATGGATCAGCGGGCAGATAAGCTCCACGGTAGGTCCTGATATCAAGGACATGAGCCCAAATTAACGGTTACATCACTCGATAGTCCAGCAAATGTTCTTGTTTCGATCCGGCATACATCCATGATGTTGTGTGGATGCGTCGATGCCGGAACAGTGTGTTGATGATTACAGGCCCATGGGCAGCACAGACATATAGCAGCTTCCTCCCATTGTAATCTGACCCATGCCTTCCAATCACTGCAGCCCATGACCCACTCAGGCATTAAAGACACCCAACAGGATGATTCTATCCTGAGGGGGCCACTTTAGCTAGCACCTGGGACAGGAGGTTATAGAAAGCATCTGACACATCGGCCTTGCCTGCGTCCCTCCACTGATGCTCATCTTCGGTGGGGGGTGTAAGCCACCTCCATTCATCGCCTCCCGTTGATGGGGACGTGAACCCACAGTCGGCTGGGACTCGCATCTTACCTCACTTCACCACCACGGCCCCTTCATTCTTTTGTTCAGAAGCAGAGCCACTACCCGTTGTTTGGCAGTCTCCTGCCCCGAGTAGAGGACTGTTCACCCCTCATGGCGACTGGAGCCAGAGCCAGTCCACCGGACCTCCTGAATGCCGCAGAGATCCAGGCGGAAAAACTGGTCCAGCTCCCGACGAGATTCGTGGCAGCCTCTCCTCCGCCGCAGGGAGCGTTCAAACATTCCCCGCGGCCCCGAGGCGCCTCGCTCTGGTGATCTGAGTTGAAGGTGGGGGGAGGTCAGCCCACCCAGAGGCTACCAGCTGATTGTATCGGGCTCTCGGGCTCCCCCCTCACCACCCCCCCACCCCCACCACCCCAACCCCCACCCCCATCCCCTAATGGCATTGCTCACAACCACCACAGCATTCCTGGCTGGAAACTACCAACAACAACAACCGCCATTCGCCACTAAGTGGCGGTGACGTCACCACGACGCTTGTGCCAGGCCATGTGCACCTTGAGGCCACGTGAAGTGTCGAACGCCCGCTGGCAGGAAGTCACGGGGCAGACCCAGGTGCCACGGGTCGACTGACTGAGATGACCGAGATGAGTGGCTGATGCACCACCTGTGCCCCCTACTGTGCCAACTTGCTGTACTTTAGCCACCCGGCGCTCCGCTCGTTGTTGTGAGGGTCGCTCCTCCGCCCTCCGTTGTTATTGGAAACTACCACAACCACCATCACCACCACCACAGCGTTGCCATCTGGCAACCACCATCACCACCACCACCGCATTACCGACCTCCAACCACCACCAAGTCTCTGCCTGGTGCATGGCGCCATCACGCGTGCACTCGCGCACGAGGACGATGGTTCGAACCCGGTGGGCCGCCCCGATTAACACTGCGGCCGTGCGCGTTGAGCACACACAGCTACTCCGCACAGGGACACCTGACACTGGGGGAGCCCCTAGGCTATAGACAGCACAGCAGCAATCATCACTACCCATTCTCACAGCAGACTAACGCAGAGACAGCTGCCACCGAGGGTGCCCCTAGGCTACAGACCGCACAGCAGTGATTATCGCTACCCCTACTGGCAGCAGACTAACGCACAGGGACAGCTGCCACTGGGGGTGCCCCTAGGCTATACACAGCACAGCAGCAGCAGCAGCCAATAGCATCCCGTTCACTGCCAGAGAGATTTCTGTAACTGCGGCCCAAACCGGTATTCAGCAGTTTCCTTCAGTTAAGCAGAAAAAAGAAGATTGTATGTGTGTGCGTGTATCGGTGTGTGTGTCTGCGTGTATCAGTGTGTGTGTCAGTATGCGTGCGTGTGTGTGTGTGGAGAGCGGTAGTATAGGGGTCAGTGCTACGCTGCGCTACGAACCAGACGACCTGAGTTCCATTCCCGCTCACGGCAAACACAGTGTCGATTATCTAAACCGGTCCTGGGTCTCCCCTTGGCCTCAAATGGGTACCTGGTGCGGTGTGTAAACATCGCCACTGGGGAGACAAAGGCGGTCGGGCGTGATGTTGGCCACCCACCCCATGTAACGCGCAGGCTTTCAAAGGCGCTGCTCGCTAACAGCACTTGCCCCAACAGTTTGCTCAAGCTATATGGGGGATCTTTGTCTTTGTGTGTACCAGTGTGTGCGTCAATGTGTGTGTGTGTACCAGTGTGTGTGTGTGTGTACCAATGTTTAACAGTGTGTGTGTGTACCAGTGTGTGAGTGTGAGCGTGGTACCCAGGGCATCTTTGCCTGTGGCTGTGTGTGAGTTTGTTACCTGGGGCATCTTTGCCTGTGGCTGTGTGTGAGTTTGTTACCTGGGGCATCTTTGCCTGTGGCTGTGTGTGAGTGAGTGTGCTACCTGGGGTATCTTTGCCTGTGGCTGTGTGTGAGTGAGTGTTACCTGGGGCATCTTTGCCTGTGGCTGTGTGTGAGTGAGTGTGTTACCTGGGGGGTCTTTGCCTGTGGCTGTGTGTGAGTGAGTGTGTTACCTGGGGCATCTTTGCCTGTGGCTGTGTGTGAGTGAGTGTGTTACCTGGGGGGTCTTTGCCTGTGGCTGTGTGTGAGTGAGTTACCTGGGGGATCTTTGCCTGTAGCTGTGTGTTAGTGAGAGTGCTACTTGGGGCATCTTTGCCTGTGGCTGTATGAGTGTGTTACTTGGGGGGTCTTTGCCTGTGGCTGTGTGTGTGTGAGTGTGTTACCTGGGGTGTCTTTGCCTGTGGCTGTGTGTGTGTGAGTGTGTTACCTGGGGTGTCTTTGCCTGTGGCTGTGTGTGTGTGAGTGTGTTACTTGGGGGGTCTTTGCCTGTGGCTGTGTGTGTGTGAGTGTGTTACCTGGGGCATCTTTGCCTGTGGCTGTGTGTGAGTGAGTGTGTTACCTGGGGTGTCTTTGCCTGTGGCTGTGTGTGTGTGAGTGTGTTACCTGGGGTATCTTTGCCTGTGGCTGTGTGTGTGTGTGTGTGTGTGCTACCTGGGGCATCTTTGCCTGTGGCTGTGTGTGTGTGAATGTGCTACCTGGGGTATCTTTGCCTGTGGCTGTGTGTGTGTGAGTGTGCTACCTGGGGTATCTTTGCCTGTGGCTGTGTGTGTGTGAATGTGCTACCTGGGGTATCTTTGCCTGTGGCTGTGTGTGTGTGAATGTGCTACCTGGGGTATCTTTGCCTGTGGCTGTGTGTGAGTGTTACCTGGGGTATCTTTGCCCGTGGCTGTGTGTGTGTGTGAGTGTTACCTGGGACATCTTTGCCTGTGTGTGTGAGTGTGTGAGTGAGTTACCTGGGGGCGGCCGTCCGTCGTTGATGTTGAAGGCCGTGGCGATGAAGCCGAAGGGGAAAGCGCCGATGCCAAACGACATCTGAAGACCTCCGTCCCCAAAGCCGAACCCTTGGAACCCCTGGGAAGGAGCCGGGGGGGGGGGGGGGGGTGAGGGAGAGATTTTAAACTACTTTTTTATTTTGCCAGGTGAAAGGCCCCGCTAAGATGCTACATAGCTCGTGTTCAGTCGCTGAAATCATCATCATCGCGTGGACATTTATAGCAGCCAGCAAATACTCCAAACACACCATTCTACATACCCACAGAGACCCACGTTTATACAGAGACCCACTCAAACTCAACTAGTTTCATGTTGCCGGATGTAAGGCCCCTCTGAGCTGCTGGGTGGCTCTTTGTACTACGCGCTTTCTTTTAACTCACTCTGCCTGTTGTCGTTGTTGTTGTCATATCCTGAAATCTTGTAACTCAATTTTAACCCACTTCCCAATGTGGTATCGACTGCAAACTTGGTATACTTACGTCATACTGATGACAATACTATATTCTGTCATTAAAACATTTAAATATATATATATTTTTAAACAATCTTTTTTATATGTTATGTTTCAGCTTGGGACTAATTGTCCACGGTCAACTGACGTTGGCTGTAATTGGCTACGGTCCCTTACGTTATGGCAAGCTTCGGGGCTACTTCCTGAAGTCGTGGAGTTCTGCTATTACTACAGTACATTTCATAAAAGCGTGTTAAAAAAAAATAATTTTTAGACTTATTCAGAAGCCACCTGCCCATCACAAATGATACCAGCAGTTTAACCAAGTGGCTATCATCATCATCACCACGTGGAGATTCATGGCAGTAGCCAAATAGTCTAAAACACACGATTCTACATACTCAGAGACCCGTAGAGAGTGTGGATGAGTGAGGGTGAGTGTGAGTGTGGGTGAGTGAGGGTGAGTGATGGTAAGGGTGGGCTAGTGAGGCCGAGTGAGTGTGTGATGGTGAGTGATGGTAATAGTGGGTGAGGGTGAGTGAGTGTGTGATGGTGATGAGTGATGGTGAGGGTGAGTGATGGTGAGGGTGAGTGATGATGAGTGAGTGAAGGTGAGTGATGGTGAGGGTGAGTGATGGTGATGGTGCGTGAGTGAAGGTGAGTGAATGAAGGTGAGTGATGGTGAGGGTGAGTGATGGTGATGGTGAGTGATGGTGATGGTGAGTGAGTGAGGGTGAGTGATGGTGAGGGTAGGTGAGTGAGGGTGAGTGATGGTGATGGGTGTGTGATGGTGAGTGTGAGGGTGTCTCACCCCTCGTGCTTCTGGTTCTGGGCGCTGTCCCTGGGGTCTGGGCGGAGTTTTCTCTCTGCAGAGCAAACGACACCGCTCACCACTCACTCACCACTCACACACCGCTCACCACTCACTCACCACTCACTCACCACTCACACACCACTCACACACCACTCACACACCACTCACCACTCGCTCACTCACCTCTCACTCACCACTCACTCACCACTCACTCACCACTCACTCACCCGACTCACCCACTCAGTGGTGGTGGTTATAGTGGTAGTGGTATGTGGTGGTGGAGGTGGTTATAGTGGTAATAGTTGTGGTGGTTGTGGTTATAGTGGTGGTTATAGTGGCCATAGTGGTTGAGGTGGTGGTGGTTATAGTGGTAATAGTGGTGGTGGTTATGGTGGCTATAGTGGTGGTGGTTACAGTGCCGGTGGTTGTGGCGGTGATTCTAGTGGTGGTGGTTGTGATAGTATGGGGGAGCGGTAGCAGAGTGGTTAGCGTGCTGCGATATGAACCCGGCGACCCGAGTTCCACTCCCGCTCACGGCCAACGCCAGCGTTGTGCAGCAAAACCACGCGGATACGAGGAAGCTGCAAGGGCTGTTGCCGTTCATTAACGCTGTTGCACACAACACCCTCAACTCACCCCAGAGGGCGGTGCTCTCTATCGGGTCCTTTACCCCGGACACTGAACATTGTCTGGTCCTGCTTCAGCTATCCTGACTGGTTCTCTCACTCGGGAAGCCTCTCCCTCAGCTGATCCTTACTGCATATCTAGATTTGAAGCTTTCGTGACTGCAGGGATCCATACTCTTTGGTTCTTTCGGTAAAGTCACATGGGTAGAAAATAAAATAAATCACGACGTTTGCGAGCGCAACGCAAGCGTCCGTCATCAGGTGGGAAGGCGCGGTCTGCTGCTGAGGCAGACTGTTTTGAAAGGTTTGAAATGGGTGTAGCTCAAGGGTCATACAGAAGCAGAGGTCGCAAACGGGTTTTGATTCCTTACCCGTACCCGGCCGCACCAGGGTTGCAAATGGGTACCCGTACCCAGGCGGGTACGGTTACCCGTTCCCTACCCGTACCCTACCCGAAATGAGTGACAAACGGTTACTCACCAGTGACTCACGGCCTACCCGTACCCATACCCGGCCGCACCAGGGTCGCAAACGGGTACCCGTAGCCGGGTATCGGGTAGGGTACGGATATCGGGTACCCGGTTGCGACCTCTGTACAGAAGTGGCCGGGGCTAGTGATGGATTAGCATGAATGCTAATCAGCATTAACGCTAATCCCTCACATTAACATAGCCACTCCCATGCCCTCGTCGAGGAGGCCGCTCTCCTCCTATCTTACAGTTACATGCTCATTCCTTACAGAATTTTCTTTTTGAGACCCCCCCCACCTCCTACACATTCCACAAGTAGTGACTAATCCCATATCTGCATTTTCCATAAATATGCTAAATTCCTCTGCTGACATGCAAATTCCTTTGTCAAGGCGCCCTCCTCCTCTAACCCAGCTTAAATATACGCTGCCAAGCCTGGTGGTGTTCATTCAGACGCTGTCTTGCCGACAGACCTGTTCTTCACCTGAGGACGGCTGCTTGCATTGCGGCCGAAACGTCGTGAGAATTGTATTTTATTACGTTTTATTTTTATTATTTTATTATTTCCCTTCTACGTGACTTTACCGAAAGAACCAAGAAGATGATTCCTTACTGAATGTTCGGGACGCTACTCTCGGCTATTCCCTTGGCTCTCGCACTCGTCTGCCCGGAGCGGGGCTCATCCAACGCCGCCCGGCGACGAGGGGGCAGACCCCTTGCAGCCGATCCTTGTCGTTTATTGTGAAAATTCGGTCACAGTTCCTATGATCACCGTTACATTGCTTTAATGGCTTTATTTTGGTGATTTCGAAAACGCTTTTTTGGTTTGGCCATGTTTGTTTGTTGTAGTACGGCATTAGACTGATGACCTTAATCTAAGTTGTCTTGCGGTTGTTGTTGTTGTTTGACTTGCATCCCACTGGGATTTTTGCACACAGCGTTGGTGTACGGTGCTTTTTCTGCAATATTTTGCCGTCTTTTCTGTTTGCACATAGTCACGTAGTCACTTTAAGATGTTTTCTTCTTCATGGTTTTGTTTTTTGTTTGTTGCGGTTGCACCCGACTCAAGAGCCGAATGGCTCACAGGGCTACACCAAACAAATTAAACTGAAAACTGAAACTGAAACACCACCGGTGACACGACGTGAACCCTAACTGGCAACTCGCTCGCACCCCCCTCTGTTCGCCCGCTCAAGGTTGCTCACACGACTCCTCTACACCGGCAATGATTATTTGAACCGGTCCTGGGACTCTTTTAGGTCGATTAAGCCTCAAATGAGTACATGGGTGCTGTTTGTAAACATCGCCACTGGGGAGACAAAGGCGGCCGGGCGCAGTGCTGGCCACCCACCGCCTCGTGTGCAGTGCTGGCCTTTATAGGTGTTGGCTAACAGCACTTGCCCCAATAGTCTGTTACAGGTTATACGGGGGTCTTTGTGTTTTGGTAGTTATAGTGGTGGTGGTTATAGTTGTGGTGGTTATAGAGGTAGTGGTTATAGTGGTGGTGGTTATAGTGGTGGTGGTTATAGTGGTGGTGGTTATAGTGGTGGTGGTTATAGTGGTGGTGGTTATAGTGGTGGTGGTTATAGAGGTAGTGGTTATAGTGGTGGTGGTTATAGTGGTGGTGGTTATAGTCGTGGTGGTTATAGAGGTGATGGTTATAGTGGTGGTGGTTATAGTGGTGGTGGTTATAGTGGTGGTGGTTATAGTGGTGGTGGTTATAGTGGTGGTGGTTATAGTGGTGGTGGTTATAGTGGTGGTGGTTATAGAGGTAGTGGTTATAGTGGTGGTGGTTATAGTGGTGGTGGTTATAGTCGTGGTGGTTATAGAGGTGATGGTTATAGTGGTGGTGGTGGTTATAGTGGTGGTGGTTATAGTGGTGGTGGTTATAGTGGTGGTGGTTATAGTGGTGGTGGTTATAGTGGTGGTTGTGGTTTTAGTGGTGGTGGTTATAGTGGTTGTGGTTTTAGTGGTGGTGGTGACTGTGAACCTGGGGTCCTGCTGGTTGGCGCTCCCTCGTCCGTAGAGAGGGATCACTTTGTCTCGACTGATGCCAGCCTTGCACACCGGGCACATCTGCCTGCTAGGGCGCGTCTCCAGCCACTACTCACACAGAGACACACACACTCACATATAAACTCACACACAGACTTACACACACACTCACATATAAACTCACACACAGACTTACACACACAGACTCACATATAAACTCACACAGACTTACACACACACACAGACTCACATTTAAACTTACAAATAGACTCACACACAGACTCACATATAGACTCGCATATAGTCACACAACAACAACCGCCATTCGCCACTAAGTGGCGGTGACGTCACCACGATGCTTGTGCCAGGCCATGTGCACCTTGAGGCCACGTGATGTGTCGAACGCCCACTGGCAGGTCACGGGGCAGACCCAGGTGCCACGGGTCGACTGAGATGACCGAGATAACTGGCTGATGCACCACCTGTGCCCCCTACTGTGCCAACTTGCTGTGCTTTAGCCACCCGGCGCTCCGCTCGTTGTTGTGAGCGTCGCTCCTCCGCCCTCCGTTGTTGTTGGAGGGCAACTGCCTTCAACTGCCCAGTAGCGTCCTTCACGAGCCTCCTCCACAGAGGCCGATCTTGACACCGCTGGTACCAGTCATCGGCAGAGTCCACTCAGCTCCATGCCCGTGCCGCGCCCGTTTGGCCCCCTCGATCCGGCCGAACAAAAGCTGTTAAGGCATGCGGTGCCTGGGCATGCGGGCTACATGACCCAGCCAACGCAGCATTGCCTGCCAGAGGAGCTCACCGATGGGACTTTGCTCACTCAATCACCCACTCACCCACACACCCACTCATCTACTCACTCACTCACACTCACTCTCACTCTCCTGCCCTCACCTGATGGAGGCAGGGCCAGCTGTGATGGATCCCCAGGCATCATCCGAAGGGAGGGGGAGGGGGGAGAGTACAAGTCATGGTCTATCCACTGCTGAATGGAGATCAACATGGTGATGTTTCTACACTAAGTTTGACTCAACACTGCCCACAGATTCAACACTGCCCATCGACTAAACACTGCCCATAAAAGGGAAATAATAAAATACCAAAAAAACATAATACAACTTAATTTTATTACGTTTAATTTTTATTATTTTATAAATGTTATTTTATTATGCTTTTTTCCCCCTTTTACATGACTTTACCGAAAGAACCAAGAATATGAATCCCTGCAGTCACAAAAGCTTTAAATAGAAACTGCACATAGACTCAACACTGAACCATAGACTCAACACTGGCCATAGACTCAACACTGCCCATAGACTCAACACTGTCCCATAGACTCAACACTGCCCATAGACTCAACACTGTCCCATAGACTCAACACTGCCCATAGACTCAACACTGTCCCATAGACTCAACACTGCCCATAGACTCAACACTGCCCATAGACTCAACACTGTCCCATAGACTCAACACTGCCCATAGACTCAACACTGTCCCATAGACTCAACACTGCCCATAGACTCAACACTGCCCATAGACTCAACACTGTCCCATAGACTCAACACTGCCCATAGACTCAACAAAACACTGCACATAGACTCAACACTGCCCATAGACTCAACACTGTCCCATAGACTCAACACTGCCCATAGACTCAACACTGCACATAGACTCGAAGTGTATAACGCAGTGTATCGTGTAGAGGCCGACCGAAATTCGTTTTTTTCGTTTCAGCGCCGAAAGTTGGCAAATGACCACTCTCGGCATACTTTCGGTTTTGGTCGAAAGTCAATTTTTAACTTTCGGCCTGGTTTCGGTTTCGACCGAAACTGATATTGACTTTCAGTCGTCAACCAAAGATTTATTTTTAGAAAATAACGCTACTGCTAAGTCTATCAGCCGGTGAGTCGGCGCTAGGCAATCCTATGCGATAGGCTGCATACACACACACACACACGTCAGCAGCAGCTTGTGGTCAGGGGCCGTCATAAATGACGTCACGCACCTAGGGGGGGCAGCGACTACGTTGCGATTCGCGCGCTGCGCTACGAACCCGGCGGCCCGAGTTCGATTCCCGCTCACGGCCGGTGACGACTATTTGAACCGGTCCTGGGCCTCCCCTAGGGCGACTCAGCCTCAAACGAGTAAGTGGTGTGGTGTGTCAACATCGCCACTGGGGAGACAAAGGCGGCCGGCTGTGGTGAATCCAAGTCCCGGGCGAAGTCGGGTAGTAAAGCGAGTATTTCATAAATCTTGTGTTCGGTAACTCCGGTTATACACCTTTCTGTTTCGGTCTTGGTCGAAAGTGAAGTTAAAACTTTCGGTTTCGGCCGAAAGTCGATTTTTTACTTTCGGTCTGGTTTCGGTTTCGGCCGAAACCAGAAATTCAGTTTCGGTCGGCCTCTAGTATCGTGTAGTGTGTAGTGTAGTGTATAGTAGTATAACGTGTAGTGTAGAGTATAGTGTAGTGTATAGTGTAGTGTATAGTGGTGTAGTGTATAGTAGTGTAGTGTATAGTGTAGTGTATAGTGGTGTATAGTAGTGTATAGTAGTGTAGTGTATAGTAGTGTAGTGTATAGTGTAGTGTATAGTGTCGTGTATAGTAGTGTAGTGTATAGTGTAGTGTACATAGTAGTGTATAGTATAGTAGTGTAGTGTATAGTATAGTAGTGTATAATGTAGTGTATCGTGTAGTGTATAGTGTAGTGTATAGTAGTATAAAGTGTAGTGTATCGTGCAGTGTGTAGTATAATGTATAGTAGTGTATCACTGGGGGATTACTCTGCTAGGGATTACTCTGAGGGGATTACTATGTTGAGAAATTACTCTTAATGTCACTCAACGTTACTCTGTGAGAGATTATTCTGGATGTCCCTCCCCATGACTCTATTTATCTGAGGGATTACTCTGAGGTAATTACTCTGAGTGGATGGGTGAGGGGATTACTTTGCAGGGGATTACTCAGATGCATTACTGTGAGGGATTACTTTGAATGTCATCCCCGTTACTCTTGTGAGGGATTGCTTAGGGGTTACTTTGCGGGGATTACTCTGATAAGGGGTTACTCTGCAGGGGATTACTCTGTCACTCCCCGTTACTCTGCGAGGGGATTACTCCGTGAGGGATTACTCTGGCTGTCACTCCCCGTTACTTTTGTGAGGGATTGATCTGAGGGATTACTCTGTGAGGAGATTACTCTGATTAGGGATTACTCTGCATGGGATTACTCTGGATGTCATTCCCCGTTACTCTGCAAGGGGATTACTCTGTACCAGAACAGGTGGCCGCAGAGGCTGATGACCGCATCCCTGGCCACGTCCAGGCAAATGTTGCACTCAAACGTGGGGTCCGCTCCTCCTCCTCCTCCCTCGGCTCCCTCTTCACCTCCTCCACCCCCTCCACCTCGCCTCGCCGCCTCCACCTCCTCATCTGTTGCTGCTGCTGCTCCTGCTTCTGCTGTTGCAGCAGCAGCCGCTTCCGCTGGGCCCGACATCGCCTCTCCACCTCGTCTCCCTCCTCGTCTCCCACCTCCTCACCACCTCCTCCTCTTGTCCCACCTCCTCCTCTTGTCCCACCTCCTACGCCTTCCCCCACCTCCTCCACCACCTCGTCTCCCCCACCTCCTCCTCCACCTCGTCTCCCCCACCTCCTCGAGAGATTTTTTGTATTAAGCTGCCGTGCTGAGTTGCGAAGCTCAAGAAGCCGCCATCTTACGTAGGGGGTGGGGTTCACCGCGCGCCCACCCGGCTCCGTGATGTTAAAGGGACTCTGACGTCATCACCCTCCCACCCCGAGCGCGCGCCCCCACAGCCGCTCGCTGATTGGAAGCGGAGTCACCCCTCCCCTCACCCCCACCACACCCCCCCACGCTGAAGTCACTCACCCCGTGCCAAGATGGCTCCCCCGAAAGCGACCGTCGGCGGTTAGTGACGTAACGCGAGGGTTTAATACGCGTGGTCCAATAGGGAAGCGGGGAGCTGAGGGGAGGGGCTGTGGGGAACTGAGGGGTTGTGGGGGACTGAGGGGAGGGGCTGTGGGGGACTGAGGGGAGGGGCTGTGGGGGACTGAGGGGAGGGGCTGTGAGGGACTGAGGGGAGGGGCTGTGGGGGACTGAGGGGAGGGGCTGTGGGGGACTGAGGGGAGGGGTTGTGAGGGACTGAGGGGAGGGGCTTTGGGGGACTGAGGGGAGGGGCTGTGGGGGACTGAAGGGAGGGGCTGTGGGGGACTGAGGGGAGGGGCTGTGGGGGACTGAGGGGAGGGGTTGTGAGGGACTGAGGGGAGGGGCTGTGGGGAACTGAGGGGAGGGGCTGTGGGAGAATGAGGTGAGGGGCTGTGGAGGACTGAGGGGAGGGGCTTTGGGGGACTGAGGGGAGGGGCTGTGTGGGACTGAGGGGAGGGGCTGTGGGAGAATGAGGGGAGGGGCTTTGGGGGACTGAGGGGAGGGGCTGTGGGGGACTGAGGGGAGGGGCTGTGGAGGACTGAGGGGAGGGGCTTTGGGGGACTGAGGGGAGGGGCTGTGGGGGACTGAGGGGAGGGGCTTTGGGGGACTGAGGGGAGGGGCTGTGTGGGACTGAGGGGAGGGGCTGTGGGAGAATGAGGGGAGGGGCTTTGGGGGACTGAGGGGAGGGGCTGTGGGGGACTGAGGGGAGGGGCTGTGGAGGACTGAGGGGAGGGGCTTTGGGGGACGGAGGGGAGGGGCTGTGGGGGACTGAGGGGAGGGGCTTTGGGGGACTGAGGGGAGGGGCTGTGGAGGACTGAGGGGAGGGGCTTTGGGGGACTGAGGGGAGGGGCTGTGGGGGACTGAGGGGAGGGGCTGTGGGGGACTGAGAGGAGGGGCTGTGGGGGATTGAGGGGAGGGGCTGTGGGAGAATGAGGGGAGGGGCTATGGGGGAAAGAGGGGAGGCGATGTGGGGGACTAAGGGCTGCTAGGGATCGAGGCGAGGGGCAGTTGGGGACTGAGGGGAGGGGCTGTGGGGGATTGATTGGAGTGGCAGTGGGGATAGAGGGGGGACTGAGGGGAGGGGCGACTGAGGGGAGGGGCTGTGGGGGACTTAGGGGAGGGGCTGTGGGGGACTTAGGGGAGGGGCTGTGGGGGTGTGGAGGAGCGGGGCTCTGGGGGATCGAGAGGCTCTCTGGTTCTCCTCCCATCGCCGTGGAGCTGCGATCGGCCAAACCAACGTCCCCAATCGACGCTGAGTCAACGTCGCCGTGAAAATCGCCTCCTCGACTCGAACCTCGCAGCGGGAGCGGCAGCAGCGGCAGCAATGTCGCATTCGCCATTCACCGCTTAGGGGGAGGTCACGTGACAGACCCAGATGCCATGGGTTGACTGCTGATGTGCCAGGCTAGGTGCAGGAGGAGGTCACGTGACAGACCCAGGTGCCATGGGTTGACTGCTGCTGTGCCAGGCTAGGTGCAGGAGGAGGTCACGTGACAGATCCAGCAGGTGCCATGGGTTGACTGCTGCTGTGCCAGGCTAGGTGCAGGAGGAGGTCACGTGACAGACCCAGGTGCCATGGGTTGACTGCTGATGTGCCAGGCTAGGTGCAGGAGGAGGTCACGGGACATACCCAGGTGCCATGGGTTGACTGCTGATGTGCCAGGCTAGGTGCAGGAGGAGATCACGGGATAGACTCAGGTATAATGGTTAACTGCTGCTGTGCCAGGCTAGGTGCAGGAGGAGATCACGTGACAAACCCAGGTGCCATGGGTTGACTGCTGATGTGCCAGGCTAGGTGCAGGAGGAGATCACGGGATAGACTCAGGTATAATGGTTAACTGCTGCTGTGCCAGGCTAGGTGCAGGAGGAGATCACGTGACAGACCCAGGTGCCATGGGTTGACTGCTGATGTGCCAGGCTAGGTGCAGGAGGAGATCACGGGATAGACTCAGGTATAATGGTTAACTGCTGCTGTGCCAGGCTAGGTGCAGGAGGAGATCAAGGGACAGATCCAGGTGCCATGGGTTGACGTCTGTGCCAGGATATTGTGCAGGAGCATGTCACGTGACAGACCCAGCATGTGCCATGGGTTGACTGCTGCTGTGCCAGGCTAGGTGCAGGAGGAGGTCACGTGACAGATCCAGCAGGTGCCATGGGTTGACTGCTGCTGTGCCAGGCTAGGTGCAGGAGGAGGTCACGTGACAGACCCAGGTGCCATGGGTTGACTGCTGATGTGCCAGGCTAGGTGCAGGAGGAGGTCACGGGACATACCCAGGTGCCATGGGTTGACTGCTGATGTGCCAGGCTAGGTGCAGGAGGAGATCACGGGATAGACTCAGGTATAATGGTTAACTGCTGCTGTGCCAGGCTAGGTGCAGGAGGAGATCACGTGACAAACCCAGGTGCCATGGGTTGACTGCTGATGTGCCAGGCTAGGTGCAGGAGGAGATCACGGGATAGACTCAGGTATAATGGTTAACTGCTGCTGTGCCAGGCTAGGTGCAGGAGGAGATCACGTGACAGACCCAGGTGCCATGGGTTGACTGCTGATGTGCCAGGCTAGGTGCAGGAGGAGATCACGGGATAGACTCAGGTATAATGGTTAACTGCTGCTGTGCCAGGCTAGGTGCAGGAGGAGATCAAGGGACAGATCCAGGTGCCATGGGTTGACGTCTGTGCCAGGATATGTGCAGGAGCATGTCACGTGACAGACCCAGCATGTGCCATGGGTTGACTGCTGCTGTGCCAGGCTAGGTGCATGAGGAGATCATGGGACAGATCCAGGTGCAATGGGTTGACTTCTGTGCCAGGATAGGTGCAGGAGGTCAATGGACAAACTCAGGTGCCATGGATTGACCGCTACTGTGCCATGCTAGGTGCAGGAGGAGGTCTCGGGATAGTTCCCAGGTTGACTGCTGACTGAGATAACTGCTCATTCACCGCCTGTGAAGAGAATACGGCATGACCCTCCATCGAGGTCGCCTCGGTGGCGAGGTGTTAAATCCCTCGCCTGGTATACAGGAAGTCGTGGGTTCAATCCCGACCCTGACGCCTGCAGCTGTATTATTTGGAGTCTGCGGTGTCTCTCTCTCCCCTTGGTGACGTGGATCTTTATACGGGTCCTCTGGTTCACGTGGAAAATCGACGTCTCTACGCGTTTAGAGTATTTGGAGTATGCCGCTATAAATTTCCACGTGATGAAGACGATATCAGCCACTCCGTTGGGCTATAATTTGCGATGGCCAAGTAGCCTTTGAAACAGAGATACAGAGCTCAGTGCGGTCTTACACCTGGTAAAATAAAAAAAGTTTCGTTTTAGTATGGGTCTCTATCAGTATGGGTCTCTGTCGGTCTGTCTGGGTCTCTGTGGGTCTGTATGGGTCTCTGTGGGTCTCTATGAGTCTATATGAGTCCTTATGGGTCTCTGTGGGTCTGTATGGGTCTATGTGAATCTGTATGGGTACTCCATGGTTCTCTGTGGATCTGTATGGTTCTCCATGGGTCTCTGTAGGTCTGTATTGGTCTCTATGAGTATGGGTCTCTGTGGGTCTGTATGGGTCTCTGTGGGTCTCTATGAGTCTCTATGAGTCTTTATGGGTCTGTATGGGTCTATGTGAATCTGTATGGGTACTCCATGGGTCTATGTGGGTCTGTATGGTTTTCCATGGGTCTCTGTAGGTCTGTATTGGTCTCTATGAGTATGGGTCTCTGTGGGTCTGTATGGGTCTCTGTGGGTCTGTATGGGTATCTGTGGGTCTCTCTGGGTATGTAGAATGCAGCCTTGCCTGCTGGAGGAGCTCACTGATGGGATTCTGTCCTGATCTTTCAAGGATTTGTGAGCTCCTCACACAATATCGCCTAGTTATAAGCAGGATAGATCTTAGGCAGGCCAGCCTGAACGTTTCTGACCGGTGCAGATGTTCCATTAGAGTGGTCCATTTTTCCAAACTAGAGAAGGGAGGGGATGACTATGGCCAAGAAGACCCGAAGCTTCGTGTGAAGCGACAGACCAGGTAGCTTCCACATAGCAGCGTTAGGCAGCCGATGAAAAGATAATGCCAGCCGACTGATTCAGTGAGCAGAGAGTCAGGGACTCCGAAAGCACGAAGAATCCAGAGTGCAGGTCTATTGATTGTATCATAGGTCTTGACCAGGTAAATATAGCAGAGATTGTTGTCATTCCTTACACCTCTTCTGTAGCAGACAGACAGAAAACATTGTCTGAAACCACATTGGGGCTCCGCAAGCCTCCCTCACCCACGCATTCACTTACACACACTCAACTCGATCCATCACACACTCACACTGTAGAACAGGTGGAGAGCATACAAACTCCGTCTGGAGGCCAGCATTGTGAATCGAACCTAGGGGCTACCGTGTCTAGAGTGGCTGATGGAGAAATGTTTATTCTCTGAGTTTTGGACACAGCGAGAATCTCGGCATAGGCCTGGGTGCACAAAACAATTTTAAGATGTATCTCAAGCGCTGCTGCTGTAGGCTTACGATCGAGTAACGATGGTCTACATGACAAGATAAACAATTGTCAGTCAGAGTCAAATATATAGACGTCGTGGGTAAGAGATCGTAACTCTTGCTCATAAGAGTAACTCGCGCTTAGGATTGAGTCATCAGCTTCAAATGAGTATCAACTGCCAGGATGCCAACATGGCCGCCATAGCATTCCTTGAGCAACATGGCCACCATGGCGTCACCTGTACAGCATGGCCACCATGGTGTCACCTGTGCAACATGGCCACCATGGCGTCACTTGTGCAGCATGGCCACCATGGCGTCACCTGTGCAACATGGCCACCACGGCGTCACCTGTGCAACATGGCCACCATGGCGTCACCTGTGCAATATGGCCACCATGGCGTCACCTGTGCAACATGGCCACCATGGCGTCACCTGTGCAACATGGCCACCATGGCGTCACTTGTGCAGCATGGCCACCATGGCGTCACCTGTGCAACATGGCCACCATGGCGTCACCTGTGCAACATGGCCACCATGGCGTCACCTGTGCAACATGGCCACCATGGCGTCACCTGTGCAGCATGGCCACCATGGCGTCACCTGTGCAACATGGCCACCATGGCTTCTTCACTCCATGCACCTAATCCGGTCAGTGGATCAGATACTTCTGTAATGTGAGGATATATCCGGGTTGCTGATGGATCACACCTCGTTACGATGATTGGCTCTGCCGGTCCTGGCCCATAGCCAATGGGGAGAAGTCTAGGGGCGTGGCCCTGACGTAATGGGAAGGTGACATCTGTAAGTAGAGGATTGGTTCTGCTGGCTTTAGCCACAGCCAATGGGGGGACGAGTCAGGGGCATGGTCCCGGGAGCGTACGATGGAGTCTAGAAGATTCCATAGAGGTTAACCAGGATTGGTGGAAAGGTACCACGTGACCCGAGTATTAAAAAGGGGTGGAGACGAACAACACGTGGTCAGATCTGGAACGAACAGAGGGTGAGGCCACGCGGGAGCGGAGTCCAGGCTGCCACGTAGCCGCGCGTGTCTCTCTCTATCCCTCTCACGCTGTCTGTCAGAAGCGTGAAGGAGTGTTGTAAAAGAAAGACAAATAAAGACCGGATTCCAGAAGTCGCTTCCACGACCTTTATAACACGTATATTTCACGATACTAATGCAATTCATATATTCGTTATGAATGTTATGACAATGATTACACGTCATTACAATCAAAGTCAATAATTATGCAATTCTCTTAATCATCAGTCGACTTAATATAACCTGGACAGTCACCGTGAGGGTGTTCCCGATCACTCCGCGTCAAGTCTTCTGCGAACTTTTACGAGGTTAATTTCCGTTCACTCCGTCAATGGAATCGCAATGTCTCGTCCAACATTCAGAGGCCCCCCCTCCCCCGAGTCAAACATGGCCATGGCCACACGTCCAGTTCTGTGGAGCCGGTGGTCTGGACAAAGTTGAGAGCTTTTGCATGAACCCCCCGTGCATTCCGAAATCCACCACAAGGGGGTGCATGGGGAGACAAAGGCAGCCCGGGTAGGGCGTAGTGGTTGATGGCCACCCACCCCCTCGTTTGCCACAGTGCCGGCCTTCATAGGCACTGCAACGACTGACTCACAGCACCTGCCCCGGCAGTCTGTTAAAGGTGATATGGGGATCTTTGTATTGCCATTTGCGGACGCATGAATGTGCAGCTTCAATTGAGTATTGAGTGTGATGTGTAAAAACATTGCCACTCGGGAGAAAAAGGCGGCCGAGCTTAGTGCTGGCCAACCACCCCCTTGTGTGCCGTGCCGGCCTTCATAGGTGCTCGATAACACCACTTGCCCCAACAGTATGTTCAGATTATACGGGGGATCTTTGTCTTTGTTTTTTGAGTGTGTGTATGAGTGTTCGTGAGTCTGGATGTGGTTCTGTATGGCTCCGTATGTCTGTGTGTGAGTGTGTGTGTCTGTCCGGCAAAACAACCTCCTACCTCCTCGCGGTGCCAGACGGGCAACACTGTCGTGGGCAGTGCTGTGGGGGGAGGGCCAATGCCCATTGGCTTCTCCCCTCATGGCGTCTGTGTTCACCACAGTGGCTGAACGGGGGCTCTGGACGGGTGCGAGGGGCTGGTAACCCCTCCACCTTCAATTAACCACCAGTAAACTACAAACTAAACATAAACCGGTAACTAATAAGCTTGTGCCGGAGGCCCCGGGGGGTCAGGCTTTTATGACGTCTCCTGGCCAAACCCCATTTGGCGGAGCCAGGAGATTGAATTTTCACCCTTGGGGCTCCTCCAGAAACAACAAAAAACCATTGCGGATGGCCACGTGGAATGTTCGAACGCTCACTGCGGAGGAGAGGCTGCCACTCCTCTGTCGGGAGCTGGACCGGTACCGCCTGGATCTCTGTGGCATTCAGGAGGTCCGGTGGACCGGTTCTGGCTCCTGCCACCATGAGGGGTGGACAGTCCTCTACTCGGGGCAGGAGACTGCCAAACAACAGGGTGTGGCTCTTCTTCTGAACAAAAGAATGAAGGGGGCGTGGGAGCGTGGCGGTGAGGTGTGGGAAGCTGTAAGCCCCAGGATACTTTGGGCTCGCCTTCCCATCAACCAGAGGCGAGGAGTGGTGGTCGTGGTTACTTATGCCCCCACCGAAGACGAACATCCGTGGAGGGATGCAAGCAAAGCCGATGAGTCAGACGCTTTCTATGACCTCCTGTCACAGGTGCTGGCTAAAGTGGCCACTCGGGACAGAGTCATCTTGTTGGGTGACTTCAATGCCCGAGTTGGTCATGATGCTGACACCTGGTCTGGAGTCATTGGAAGGCATGGGCCAGATCGGCTCAATAATAACGGTAGGAGGCTGCTAGATTTTTGTGCAGCCCATGGGCTTGTAATTACCAACACGCTCTTCCGGCATTGGCGCATCCACACAACATCATGGATACATGCCAGGTCCAAGCAAGAACATCTGCTGGACTACATAGTGACGGACCAGCGAATGCGAGCCCATGTCCTTGACACCAGGACCTACCGTGGAGCTGATCTGCCCTCTGACCATCGACTAGTCATCTGTAAGATGCGCCTGCCTTTCTTCCACTCCGGTGGTGGGTGTACACCCAGGATCCCATTCCAACCAAAAGTGGCCTGGTCTCAGCTGATGAAAGTTGCAAGCGAGAATTTCATCATCGCTTGCAGCTGGGGTTGGCATCGTCCCCCACTCCACCTGATGTCGAGGGTAAATGGGCGAGGTTTAAGACTGTGACTCATGCAGCTGCAATGGCTGCTTTGGGTACGCGGTCCAGACCTCCCCAGAAACCCTGGCTGACAGAGGAGGTGTTCAGGTTAATTGAGAAAAAGCGACAGGCCCACTCTCATCGCCTACAGCATCCCACGTCAGAGAATGAGGAGGTTTACCGCAGCCTTCGCTCGGAAGTTCGGAGAGCCGTAAGGCGCTGTAAGGATGGGTGGTGGTCGCGGGTTGCTGAGGAGATGGAGTCTGCCTCAGTGGCCCGTGATCACACATCACTATTTAACTCCATCAAAAAAGTAACCTGCAGCGCCACACCTATTACCATCATTAGAGGAAAAAACGGTGATCCAATCTCTGACCCCCAGGAACAGGTTTGCAGATTTGCTGAGCATTTCTGTGAGGTCCTGGGGGAGGGAAATTCTCTCAGCCAGGAAAACATCATGGCACAAAGTGGTGATAACCCTGCTGAGGCTGCGGTGCCTCAAATATTGGAAGAGGTCACCCCCTGTGAGTGGCTGGCTGAGGTGCCAGCTGTTGAGGAAGTACTGAGGGCGATCCGGAGTCTGAGACCAGGGAAGGCACCGGGCAGAGATGATCTCCCAAGCGAAATGCTGAGGGAGGGTGGCGTTTGTGCACAGACTGCCCTATATGACATCATAACAACAGTCTGGACCACGGGACAGGTTCCGCAGGACTGGAAGGATGCCCTGGTGGTCCCCCTCTTTAAGAAGGGGGACCGTACCGACTGTAACAACTACAGGGGCATCTCACTCCTCAGTGTGCCTGGAAAGGTCCTGGCAAGGATTATTCAACATCGCCTTGCTAGGCACGCTGAGGAGGGGCTTGCGGAGCCCCAATGCGGTTTCAGGAAAGGGCGGTCCTGCACAGATGCAATATTTTCTGTCCGTCTGCTACAGCAGAGGTGTAGGTAATTCCAAAAAGACCTACATCTCTGCTTTATTGACCTGGTCAAGGCCTATGATACCATCAGTAGGACTGGGCTCTGGGTTGTTCTTCGTGCTTTCGGAGTCCCTGACCCTCTGCTCACGATCATTAAGGACCTTCATGATGGTGAGCGGGCCAGGGTAGAACTACGTGGCCGTGAGTCGGAGCCTTTCCCTGTACACCTTGGGGTGCGACAGGGATGTCCTCTGGCTCCCACATTATTTAACATCTATTTTGACCGCGTAGTTCGTGAAGGCTTCAATAGCTGTACCGGGGGAATTTCCATTTGGTACAGATATAATGGGAGGCTGATCGATGCCCGGGTGCGATCAAGGGATGGCTCCCTATTGGTCAACCACGTTATGTATGCCGATGATTTGGTAATAGCTGCTCATTCAGAAGAGGAGTTGGAGACGCTGCTGCTGAGACTGGAGCGTGCCACTAAGAGGTGGGGCCTTACCATCAGCCCCACCAAAACTAAGCACCTGCCTGGGTATTTTGTACCATCGGACACTCCACCCCCACAACTCCCAATTGGTGAAGGGGCAGTTGTGGAGAGAGTGGAGAGTTTCCCATACCTGGGCAGTGTGCTTATGACCGGCTCCAGTTTATCAGCAGAGGTCTCACTCCGAATCAGTCGAGCAGCAATATCTTTTCATCGGTTGCGTAACGCTGTGTGGAAGCTACCTGGTCTGTCGCTCCGCACGAAGCTTCAGGTCTTCTCGGCCACGGTCATTCCCTCCCTTCTCTACGCTTGCGAGACGTGGACCCCCCTGGTGGAGCATCTTCGCCGGTTGGAAACATTTAGGCTGGCCTGCCTACGATCCATCCTGGGTTTAACCAGGCTGGATTGTGTGAGGAGCTCACAAATCCTTGAAAGATCTGGGCAAAGTCCCATCAGTGAGCTCCTCCGGCAGGCAAGGCTGCGTTGGCTGGGTCATGTAGCCCGCATGCCCAGCCACCGCATGCCTAAACAGCTTTTGTTCGGCCGGATCGAGGGGGCTAGACGGGCGCGGCACGGGCTGGAGAAGAGATGGAGTGATGTGGTACAGGAGGACGTGGAGCTGAGTGGACTTGCCGATGATTGGTACCAGCGGTGTCAAGATCGGCCTCAGTGGAGGAGGCTCGTGAAGGACGCTACTGGGCAGTTGGAGGCAGTCGCCCTCCAACAACAACGGAGGGCGGAGGAGCGACGCTCACAACAGCGAGCGGAGCGCCGGGTGGCTAAAGCACAGCAAGTTGGCACAGTAAGGGGCACAGGTGGTGCATCAGCCAGTCATCTCGGTCATCTCGGTCAGTCGACCCGTGGCACCTGGGTCTGCCCCGTGACCTCCTGCCAGCGGGCGTTCGACACTTCACGTGGCCTCAAGGTGCACTTGGCCTGGCACAAGCATCGTGGTGACGTCACCGCCACTTAGTGGCGAATGGCGGTTGTTGTTGTTGTGTCTGTATGTATGTGGTTATGTGTCCGTGTGTAGATCCCCACGTGTATGTGCGTGCGTGCGCTCATTTCAGCCCCAGCTTCTTCTCCATTTGCTCCCTGAGCTTGAACTTCTGGATCTGAAGGGAAGGAGCAAGAAACACCCGAAATCAAAACCCACAGAGCGGAGAGGGGGGGGGAATAAACCCGGCGTGCATTCCGCACACGTGATGACGACACCGCATTCACCATCGATCGTTGGGCCCAAAGCCTTTCAAGCGCTGGTTTGCAGCAATGGAGAGAGGCCTCTCCCTATGGGGTTCCACGTGGTCTGCATTCTCGTGGCCTCCCACGTGGCCTCGCACAAGGGCGATTGTGACGTCATGCACGCACGTGTTGAGAAGGGGTGTGGGGGGGAACGCACCTTGCCAGTCACCGTGAGGGGGTAGGAGTCCACGATCTCAACGTATTTTGGGATCTTGAAGTGAGCGATCTGAGTGGTTATTACCGACACGAACACAAACACAGACACACAAATATACACACAGATGCACACAGACACACAAAACACACGCAGACACACACATAGACACATGCACACACATACACACGCACACAAAGACATAGACGCACAGAAACAGACAAAGACACACATACAGACAAATACAGAAACATAGAGAGACAAATACACACACAGACGATGACACTTCGAGACAAACACAGACACACACAGAGACACACATAGAGACACACAGATACAGACGCAAACGCACACACACATGGACACATGGACACACACGCACGCAGACACACAAAGACATACAAACACCGAGACACGCAGACAAAATGCACACAAAGACAGAGGCACACAGACACACGCACCAGTGTTAAAGAAGTCCCACGTGTTTTGAGTTGCAGTCCGACTCAATGGACACGTGAAGTTCGAGTGGGAGGGTCTATGTGGAAGTGGGTGGGGTTGTGCGAGAGTAGACAGGGTTAGTGGGCGAGTGGGAGGGGCTAGGTGAGAGTGGGTGGGGTTGTGTGAGAGTAGACAGGGTTAGTGGGCGAGTGGGAGGGGCTTTGTGAGAGTGGGAGGGGCTATGTGCGAGTGGGCGGGGTTAGTGGGCGAGTGGGAGGGGCTTTGTGAGAGTGGGCGGGGTTAGTGGGTGGCAGTGGCTGTGGTGGAGGGGATACAGTAGGGGAGGGCCATGGGGGAAGGAAGGGCTGTGGGGGAGGGACCGTGGAGGAGAGGAGGGGTCGTGGGGGAGGGGTCGTGGGGGAGGGGTCGTGGGGGAGGGGTCGTGGGGGAGGGGTCGTGGGGGAGGGGAGGGAGCGTGGGGTGGGGGCCATGGGTGGGGGGGGCTGTGGGGTCTCCACCTTGGTGTTGCAGAAGGAGTGGAGGTCGCGAGCGGAGAGTGCCGCCACTCCGGGCTGGAGGCGTAGGCAGGCGCAAGCCTCCTCCCCCATGCGCTCATCGTGCACGCCCACCACCTACACAACCACCAACACAGCCACCACCACAAGCATTACCCCTACCACCTACACAAACACAACCACCTAAACAACCACCTACACAATCACCACAACAACTACCACACCACCACCTACACAACCACAATCACAACCACAACTACCACAACCGTCTGCACCACCACCACCACCACAACAACCACAACAATAACCACAACCACCACAACAACCACTACCACCTACACAAACACCACAACGACCACCACAACGACCACCACAATGAACACCACAATAACCACAAACACCACAACAACCACCACAACGACCACCACAACAACCACCACCACAACGACCGCCAGAAAAACCACAACCACCACAACAACACCACAACCACCTATACATCCACAACTACCACAACAACTACCACCTACACCACCACAAGCACTTACACCGCTACTAAAACCACCACCACCTACAAACAACAACCGCCATTTGCCACTAAGTGGCGGTGACGTCACCATGGCCCTTGTGCCAGGCTATGTGCACGTAAAGGCCACGTGAAGTGTCGAATGCCTGTTGGCAGGAGGTCACAGGACAGACCCATGTGACTTAGATGACCACCTGTACCCCCTACTGTGCCAACTTGCTGTGTTTAGGCCACCCCGGTGCTCCACTCGTTGTTGTGAGCATCGCTCCTCTGCCCTCCGTTGTTGTTGGAGGGCGACTGCCTCCAACTGCCCAGTAGCAGCGTCCTTCACGAGCCTCCTCCACAGAAGCCGATCTTTACACTGCTGGTACCAGTCATCAGAAAGTCAACTCAGCTCCATATCTTCTTGTACCACATTACTCTATCTCTTCTATAGCCTTTTCCGCCCCGTCTATCCAGCTGAACGAAAGCTGTTTAGGCATGCGGTGGCTGGGCATACAGGCTACATGACCCAGCCAATGCAGCCTTGCCTGCCAGAGGAGTTCACTGATGGGACTATGTCCAGATCTTTCAAGGATTTGTGAGCTCCTTACACAATTCAGCCTGGTTAAACCCAGGATAAGTAGTAGGCAGGCCAGCCTAAATGTTTCTCACTGGAGAAGATGCTCCACCAAAGGGGTCCACATTTCGCAAGCATAGAGAAGGGAGGGCATGAGGTGTGGAGCGACAGACCAGGTAGCTTATACACAACGTTACACATCTGATGAAAAAATAATGCCGCTCAACTGATTCGGAGCCTATCATGAGCACACTGCCCAGGTATCGAAAACTCTACACAACTGCCCCATCACCAATTGGGAGTTGTGGGGGTGGAGTGTTTGAGGGCACAAAATACCCAGGCAGGTGCTTAGTTGTGGTGGGGCTGATGGTAAGGCCACACCTCTTAGTAGCACGCTCCAGGTTCAGCAGCAGCGCCTCCATCTCCTCCTCTATGTGAGCAGCAATCACTAGATAATCAGCATACGTAACATGGTTGACCAATAGGGAGCCATCCCTTGACCACACCCGGGCATCGATCAGCCTCCCATTGTATCTGTACCAGATGGAAATACTCCGGTACAGCCTTCACGAACTACGTGGTCGAAATAGATGTTTGGTAGCCAGAGGACATGCCTGAAGCACCGCAAAGTGAACAGGGGATGGCTTTGTCTCCCGGCCACGTAGTTTTACCTGGGCCTGCTCACCATTATGAAGGTCTTTAATGATTGTGAGCAGATAGTCAGGGACTCCAAAAGCACGAAGAGCAACCCAGAGCCCAGGGTTACTGATGGTATCATAGGCCTTGAATTAATCAATAAAGCAAAGATGTAGGTCCTGTTGGAATTGCTTAAACCTCTGCTGTAGCAGACGGACACAAAATATGGCATCAGTGCAGGACCGCCCTTCCTGAAACCACATTGTGGCTCCGCAAGCCTCTCATCAGCATGCCTAGCAAGGCGATGTTGAATAATCCTTGCCAGGACCTTTCCCGCCAAACCGAGGAGTAAGATTCCCCTGTAGTTGTTACTGTCTGTGTGGTCCCCCTTCTTAAAGAGGGGGAACACCAGGGCATCCTTCTCATGCTGCAGAACCCGTCCAGTGGTTCAGACTGTTATGTCATGTAGAGCAGTTTGTGCACAAACGACACCCTACCTTAGCATTTTGTTTGGGAGATCATCTCTGCCCGGTGCTTTTCATGGTCTCAGACTACTCTGAATCGCCTTCTTAAATCCTCAACAGATGGCACCGCAGCCAGCCACTCACAGGGGGTGACACCTTCTTTCAAAATTTGAGGCACTTTGCCCCATGATGTTTGCCATACTGAGAGATTTCCACGCCCCCAAGACCTCACAGAAATGCTCCGAAAATCTGCAAACCTGTTCATGGAGGTCGGATACCGGATGACCTTTCTTTCCTTTAATAATGGTGATAGATGTAGCGATGCAAGTTACATTTTTGATGGAGTTAAAGAGTGATTTGTGATCGCCGGCTACTGAGTCAGACTCCACCTCCTCAGCAATCCGCGACCACCACACATCCTTGCAGTGCCACACGGCTCTCCGAACCTCCGAGCAAACGCTGCGGTAAGCCACCACAAGAACAACCACCTAAACAACCACCACAACAACGACCTACACAACCATAGACAACAAACACTATCACCACTACCACATACAGTAACCACTACCACCAACACCATAACCACCTACAGTGGGTGTGAGGGTGGGTGGGTTAGTGGGTGAGTGAATGCGTGAGTAGGTGAGTGAGTAGGTGGGTGAGTAGGTGGTTGAGTGGGTGAGTGAGAGGGTTGGCGAGTGAGTGGGTGGGTGAGTGAGTGGGTGAGTGAGAGGGTGGGTGAGTGAGTGGGTGAGTGAGAGGGTGGGTGAGTGAGTGAGCGGGTGGGTGAGTAAGTGGGTGAGTGAGTGGGTGAGTGTGTGAGTGGATGAGTGTGTGAGTGGGTGAGCGGGCGGGTGAGCGGCACCTGTGCTTCCAGGACCGCGGGGTGAGTGTGCAGCAGCGCCTCCACCTCGGCAGGGTAGACGTTCTCCCCTCCGCGAATGATGAGGTCCTTGAGTCGTCCCACGATGCGGCAGTAACCCAGCTCGTCCATCACGGCCACATCGCTGTCATCCATCGACACCATCATCACCACCACGACTATCATCATCATCACCGCAATCATCAACACTAACATCATCGTCGACACCATCAACATCATCATCACCATCATCATCACCACCACCACGGCCACCACCATCATCTTCACCATCATCTTCACCATCATAATCACCACGACCGCCACCATCATCATAATCACCATCAACACCATCAACATCGTCACCATCATCATCACGACCACGACTACCACCATCAACACCATCATCACCATTAACACCATCACTACCACAACCATCAACACCACTACCAGCACCACCATCAGAACCAATAAATCCAACAGCAACATCACCAACAACAACAAAGACAAAGATCCCCCCTATAGCCTTAACAGACTGTAGGGGCAAGTGCTTTAAGCGAGCACCGATGAGGGCCGGCAGGGCACACGAGGGTGTGGGTGGGCAGCACCACGCCCGACCGCCTTTGTCTCCCCAGTAGCGATGTTTGCTACACACCGCAACCAGCTACTCACCATGTGAGTGTGATACCATCCACCCCACCCACGCATCATGCAGTGAGTGTGGTACACGGCAGGCGCGGTACACGGTGGGTGTGTGATCCGGTGAGTGTGGGACCCAGTAGGAGTGGTACCCAGTGAGTATGTGTAGAGGAGTAAAATGGGGACGTGACGTCAGGTGTGCCGTTCAGTGCGATGACGTCACGTCTCCTAGGGTACTTAAGGGATACCCCGTGACGTAAGCGGGGTCACTGTGGGAACGGGTAGAGTAAGCAGGGTGAAGAGGGAACCAGGGGTAGAGAGAGGGATCGAATAAGGAGTCTGGGGAGAAGTCGGTGGTAGCCGTAAAGGTGCTTCTCTCTCCGGTCGGTGGAGTCGGCAGAGTCCCCGATCCGACACGAGAGAGAGAGACCGGAGCTAGCCGGCAGGGACCCGGACTCAGAGTAGGACCCCTAGCCCCTGGGAGTTGTGTACCCTTGTGTGTTATTGTAACAGCTTTAATAAACCCTGGCGAAAGCCCTTAACTTACCTCCGTCTCCCGAGTACGTCCGTCGGAACTTCTCTACATATGTGCTAACTACCCACCCACCTCACCCACCTCACTCACCCCACCCCGCCACTCACCCGGTGTGGTACCACCCGTCGGGCGTGATGCACTCCTGCGTCTTGCCGCTGTCCCCCCAGTACCCGCGCATCACGCAGTGTCCCCGCACGCAAAGCTCCCCCTGCTCGCCCACGCGCAGCGGCGGGCTGCTCGAGCCGGGCCCCACCACCTTGGCCTGCACGGGAGCCATGCCGCGGGGAGAGAGGAGAGGGAGGAGGAAGATGCTGCTGCCTCTGCGTGGTGGTTAGGGTAGATGTTGACTACCCTCGCCCTGGTTACGCAGGAGGTCGTGGGTCTCATCGCGGACCCTGGCAATGCCTTCTGCTGCTGCTGTCTATTTGGTCCCAAGAGATGTGAACTACCTCGTCTGGTGCGCAGGAGGACGTGGGTTTGCTCGTCGCGGACCCTGATGGATGCCTGCTGCTTGCTGCTGCTGTCTATTTGGTACGGTATGCAGTAGTTCGTCGGTTAGACCCCGGACCCTGACGATGCCTGGTGCTGTATATTTGGAGTCTGCGTCTCTCTCTCTCTCCTCTTGGTGAGATGTTAACTAGCTCGCCTGGTGCGCAGGAGGTCGTGGGTTCGATCCCGACCCTGACGATGCCTGCTGCTGCATATTTTGAATCTGTGTCTCTCTTATCATCACGGTGGCTATGAGATGTTAACTCCCTCGCCTAGAACGCAGGGGTCGTGGGTTCAATCCTACAGCCTGACGGATCCCTACGACTGCTGCTGTATATTTGGTACCGTATGCATGAGGGCGTGGGTTCGATCCAGGACCCTGATGGATGCCCTTGTGCACAGGAGGTTGTTGGTTAGATCCCGGGCCCTGATGACGCCTGCTGCTGTATATTTTGTACCAAGAGATGTTGACTCCCTGATATGCAGGGGTTCATGGGTTAAATCTCGACCCCCGTGAAGCCTGCTTCTGTATATTTGGAGTTTGCGTCTCTCTCCCTATGATGGTCACTGCGTGGATTTTTCTCCGGGACCTCCAGTCATTTCCCTCCGCGTTTAGAGTTGACGTCTCCACGCGTTTAGAATATTTGGCCACCGCGATGATGATTAGCCACTTCGTTAGCTTAGTTGTGAGCGTCGCTCCTCTGCCCTCCGTCGTTGCTGGAGGGCGACTGCCTCCAACTTCCCAGTAGCAGCGTCTTCCACGAACCTCCTCCTCCTCCTCCACAGAGGGTGATCTTGATACCGCTGGTACCGGTCATCGGCAAGTCCACTCAGCTCTACGTTCTCCCATGCCGCATCAGCCCCATCTCTACTTTAGCCCATGCCAGTCACCCACCCATCAGTTCATTTCTTTTCTAGCCCGTGCCACTCACTCACCCACTCACTCACCCATCAGTCCATATCTGCTCCAGCCCATGCCACTCACTGACCCATCAATCCATCTCTGCTCCAGCCCGTGCCACTCACTGACCCATCAGTCCATCTCTGCTCCAGCCCGTGCCACTCACTGACGCATCAGTCCATCTCTGCTCCAGCCCATGCCACTCACTGACACATCAGTCCATCTCTGCTCCAGCCCGTGCCACTCACTGACCCATCAGTCAATTTCTGCTCCAGCCCATGTCACTCACTGCCCCATCAGTCCATCTCTGCTCTAGCTCGTGCCACTCACTCACCCATCAGTCCATCTCTGCTCCAGCCCGTGCCACTCACTGACCCATCAGTCCATCTCTGCTCTAGCCCATGCCGTGCCCAATAAGACGGGCCGTTACCATCAACGCCACCAAAACGAAGCACCTGTCTAGCGGGTAGAGTTTGGCGTAAAATACCCAAACTCCCCATTGAGTTATGGGTCCCTTGGGGAGACAGTGGAGGTGTTCCCATAGCTGGGTGAGTGTGCTTATGACCGGCTAGCACCTAACCTGGCACAAGTGCCATGGGGGTGTTAGCACTACAGCTGCGGTTGTTATTGTTGATGGTGATGATGGGGGTGATGATGGTCATGTTGATCAGGGTGATGGTGATGATGGTGATGTTGATCATGGTGATGTTGGTGATGGGGATAATGGTGAGGGCGGTGATGTTGTTAATGGTGGTGATGCTTATGATGGAGGTGGTGATGATGGTGGTGGTGATGGGGGGTGTTGATGAGTGGTGGTGATGTTGGTGTTGATGGGTGGTGTTGATGGTGGTGATGGTGGTGGTGATGGTAATGGCAGTCATGGTGGTGGTGATGGCGTTGGTGATGGTGGTTTTGATGGGTGTTGTTAATATTGGTGTTGATGGTGATTGTAATGGTGATGGGTGATGTTAACGGTGGTATTGATGGCATTGGTGATGGTGGTGTTGATGGGTGGGGTTGATGGTGGCGTTGATGGTGGTGTTGATGGTGGTGTTGATGGTGGTGATGGTGGTGTTGATGGTGGTATTGATGGTGGTGTTGATGGTGGTGTTGATGGTGGTATTGATGGTGGAGTTAATGGTGGTATTGGCGGTGTTGATGGCGGTGGTGATGGTGGTGGTGATGGTGGCGTTGATGGTGGTGTTGATGGTGGCGTTGATGGGTGGTGGTGATTAAACTACATGGCCGGGAGTCGGAGCCATTCCCTGGACACCTTGGGGTGCGACAGGGATGTCTTCTGGCTCCCACATTATTTAACATCTATTTGACCACGTAGTTTGTGAAGCCTTCAATAACTGTACCGGGGGAATTTCCATTTCGTACAGATATAATGGGAGGCTGATCGATGCCCGGGTGCGGTCAAGGGATGGCTCCCTTTTGGTCAACCACGTTATGCATGCCGTTGATTTGGTAATTGCTGCTCATTCAAAGGAGGAGTTAGAGACGCTTCTGCTGAAATTGGAGTGTGCCACTAAGAGGTGGGGCCTTACCATCAGCCCCACCAAAACTAAGCACCTGCCTGGGTATTTTGTACCATCGGACATTCCACTCCCACAACTCCCAATCAGTGATGGGGCAGTTGTGGAGACAGTGGAGAGTTTCCCATACTTGGGCAGTGTGCTCATGACCGGCTCCGGTTTGGCAGCGGAGGTCTCACTCCGAATCAGTCGAGCGGCAATATATTTTCATCGGTTGCGTAACGCTGTGTGGAAGCTGCCTGGTCTGTCGCTCCGCACGAAGCTTCAGGTCTTCTCGGCCACAGTCATTCCCTCCCTTCTCTACGCTTGCGAAACGTGGACCCCCTAATGGAGAATCTTCGCCGGTTATAAACATTTAGGCTGGCCTGCCTACGATCCATCCTGGGTTTAACTAGGCTGGATTGTGTGAGGAGCTCACAAATCCTTGAAAGATCTGGGCAAAGTCCCATCGGTGAGCTCCTCCGGCAGGTAAGGCTGCGTTGGCTGGGTCATGTAGCCCGCATGCCCAGCCACCGCATGCCTAAACAGCTTTTGTTCAGCCGGATCGAGGAGGCTAAACGGGCGCAGCACGGGCTAGAGAAGAGATGGAGTTATGTGGTACAGGAGGACGTGGAGCTGAGTGGATTTGCCAATGACTGGTACCAGTGGTGTCAAGATCGGCCTCAGTGGAGGAGGCTCGTGAAGGACGCTACTGGGCAGTTGGAGGCAGTGGTGATGGCAGGCATGGTCTTGGTGATGGTGGTGTTGATGGGTGGTGTTGATCTTGGCGTTGATGGTGGTGTTGATGGGGATGATGGCGGTCATGGGGGTGGTGATGGTGGTGGTGATGTTGGTGTTCATGGGTGGTGTTGGTGGTGTTGGTGGTGGTGGTGATGGCGGTCATGGTGGTGGTGATGGTGGTGTTGATGGGTTGTGTTGATGGTGGTGATGGCGATCATGGTGGTGGTGATTGTGGTGGTGATGTTGGTGTTGATGGTGGTGTTGATGGGTGGTTATGATGGGTCGTGTTGATGGGTGGTGTTGATGGTGATGACGGCATCACCTCCAAATGCTGCAGCACTCTGCCCACGGCGTCCATCTTGGTGTTGATGTCATCGCGAGGGAACCCGCAGAAAGTCACCGGGCTGTTCTCTGTCGTTCCATATGCGTTCTGCAACATCACCGGCACCGCGGTCGTCAACAGCAACAACAACTACCGCCATTCGCCACTAATTGATGGCGACGTCGAAGGCTCGATGACAGGAGGAGGTCATGTGTAGGGACAGTGCGGAGAGAGAGACGGGGCGTGTGTGGGGAGACAGTGCGGGTGCAGGGACAGTGCATCGCCAAGTGGTCTCAAGGGATAATTACAAGAGGGAACCATCGGGGAAGATCAGGTTTGGCCCAGACAATTCCAGAAAGGGGGCGTGGCCTGGAGCGGGGCGTGGCCACGCCAGGGTGTGGGGGGGGGATAAAGCGGCGGGCGAGGGAGCTCGGGGCTGCCGTGGGATCGGGGTCGACTGTCTCACGCCTTCGCTGTCTTCGGGCCGTCACTGTCATTGCGTCGTCGCTACTTGTGTGTTATCCTAGCCCAAGTATCTGTATGTTATTCCTAGCCCAAGTATCTGTATTTTATATTAGCCCAAGTATCTATATTTTATACTAGCCCAAGTATCTGTAAGACACGAGATCGAGTTATCTGCACGACACACCTTAATAAATAAATAACGAAGACTACAGAAGTTGTCCGAGAGTCATTACATATGTGTTGCCTACTGCTGTGCCAGGCTAGGTGCAGCAGGTCAAGTGACAGACCCAGGTGCCATGGATCGAATGCTGTGCCAGGCTAGGTGCAGGAGGAGGTCAAGGGACAGACCAATGTCCCATGGGTTGACTGCTATTGTGCCACAAATGCGTTCTGCAACATCACCAACACCATTAACAACAGACGACAACAATAACAACTACCGCCATTCACCACTCAGTGACGGTGACGTCACCATGGCACAGGTGCCAGGCCAGGTGCACTTTGATGTCACGTGAAGTGACAAACTCGCACTGACAGGAGGTCACGGGATGGACCCAGCAGGTACCATGGACTGAGATAATTTGCAGATGCACCACCTGTTCTCCCTAATCTGTCAACTTGCTGTGTTTTATCCGCCGGAAACTCCGCTCGTTGTGAGCATCGCTCATATGCCTTCCGCTGTTGTTGCCTCCAAGTGTCCAGTAGCGTCCTTCACGAGCCTCCTCCACAGAGGCTGATAATGACACCGCTGGTATCAGACATCAGCAAGCTCACTCAGCTCCACATCCTCTAGTATCACATCACTCTATCTCTTCTCTAGCCCATGCCACGTCCATTTAGCCCCCTCTATCTGGCCAAACAAAAGCTGTTTAGGCATGCGGGCTACATGCCCCAGCCACCACAGCCTTGCCTGCTGGAGGAACTCACCAATGGAACTGTGCCCAGATCTTTCAAGGATTTGTGAGCTCCTCACACAATCCAGCCTGGTTAAACTTTCCGATTAGCACCATTGACTACATTCGGTGCAAAAACAGTTAAACTTACATACACATCTCCCCATTAATCCGCAACCAGCACTCAGCCGTGCAGCACTGCACATCTCTCCGAACATCCGAGCGACATGGGATGCTGCAGACGGTGGGATTGGGCCTGTCGCTATTTCTCAGCCAGCCATAACACCTCCTCTATCAGCCAGGATCTCTGGGGAGGTTTGGACCATGTACGCAAAGCAGTCATTGCAGCTGCATGAGCCACAGTCCTAAACCTCGCCCATTACCTCTCAGCATCAGGAGGAGAGGGGGACGATGCCAACTCCAGCTGCAAGCGATGATTAAAGTCTCGCTTGCAAATTTCATCAGCTCGTTGATACCAGGCTACGGTGGGTTTGAATGGGGTCATAGATGGACACCCACCACCGGAGTGGAAGAATGGCAAGCAAATCTTACAGATGGCAAGCCGATGGGTTAGTGGCCAGATTAGCTCCACGGTAGGTCCTGGTGTCAAGGACATGGACCCACACTTTCAAGCCCAGCAGATGTTCTTGCTTGGACCCGGCGTGCATCCATGATGTTGTGTGGATCTGCCGATGCTGGAAGAATGTGTTGGTAATTACAAGCCCATGGGATACACAGAATTAAAGCAGCCTGCTATTGTTATTATTGAGCTGATCTGTCCCATGGCTTCCAATGACTCCAGCGCAGGTATCAGCATCATGACCTACTCAGGCATTAAAGTCACCCAACAGGATGACTCTATCCCGAGGGGCCACTTTAGATAGCACCTGTGACAGGAGGTCATAGAAGGCATCTGACTCATTGGCCTTGCCTGCATCCATTCACTACGGTCAGGCATAAGCCTAGACATCCACCACCATTCTGCTCCACCATCATCAACACTATAAGTACAATCAACACCAGCATCACCATCATCACCACAATCAACAACATCACCACCATCAAAAGCAATTAATACACCACCATAATTATCACTAAGGATATTCATTTGTGAGTAGATGGTCTCAACCCTGTCATCAGCGTCTCACACAGAGAGCCGTAGACTCACATAGAGACCCATAGACTCATCACACACAGATACCCATAGGCTCACCATACAAAGTGACCTGTAGCCTCACACACACACATACTTGAAGCAGTAGGGATCCTCCTCTGTGCCACTTGGGGTGGTGCGATTGGTCACTCACCACGAAGTCGGGCAGCTTCATGGAGTCCACGACTCGCCGGAACAGCTCAGGGGGACACGGGGAGCCAGCCACAATCCCTGCGGACACACACAGGCACAGCTAAAGCTCCCCTGGCTCGTCTCACACAGGGCTGTCGGGGCAAGTGCTGTTAGCGAGCAGCAGCAGTAGCAACAGCGCCTATACACATACCCAAAAGCATTGGTACACACACAGGTACACAGACATACAGGTATAACACACAAAGATCCCCCTATAACCTTAACAGACTGTTGGAGCAAGTGCTGTTAGGGAGCACCTATGAAGGCCGGCACGGTACACGAGGGGGTGGGTGGCCAGCACCACGCCCAGTCGCATTTGTCTCCCCAGTGGCGGTGTTCACACATTATGCCAGGTGCTCATTTGAGGCTGAGTCGACCTAGGGGAGGCCCAGAACCCATGGCATCTGGGTATGTCCCGTAACCCTCTCATGCACCTAGCCTGGCACAGGAGTAGGACAACCCATGGCACCTGGGTCTGTCCCGTGACCTCATGCACCTAGCCTGCCACAGCAGTAATACAACCCATGGCACCTGGGTCTGACCCGTGACCTCATGCACCTAGCCTGGCACAGCAGTAGTACAACCCATGGCACCTGGGTCTGTCCCGTGACCTCATGCACCTAGCCTGGCACAGCAGTAGTACAACCCATGGCACCTGAGTCTTTCCCGTGACCTTCTCATGCACCTAGCGTGGCACAGCAGTCAACCCATGACACCCGGGTCTGCCCTCGTGACCTCCTCCGCACCTAGCCTGGCACTGACCTGTCTGCAGGGAGGAGAGGTCGAAGGAGTGGAAGTCGGGATCGTTCAGCATGTCCACGAACATGGTGGGCGTGCCGTACAACACCGTGCAGCTGCACACACACAGGCACAGGAAAATTACCCCCCAGGTAGCCTTTCGCAGCTTTTTGGGGGGAAAGTGCTGCCCGTCGTGTAGACAACTCCCATTTGTCGTCATGTTAAAAAGGGACGGAGCCGTTTCCCTCCCGCCGGTGAGGGGAGGAGCTATGGAGTGGTTGCTCCCGTCTTTCATTATTATCTTAAACGTCTAATTTCATACATGTCAACACAAACAAATAGACAAACTTTTTTTAATACCCGTATTGAAACGGCTGTACGCTGTATGGACCTGAAAACTAAATTTCCCTGTTCAAGAATATGGGTAAACCGTATGGGTTGACAAGTATGCTATTAAAAAAGTTATTGTTACAGGACCATCCTGATTGAGGTCATTCTACGCTACACAAGTTAGTAAGATGGCGAAGTAGAAAATAGACCACGCTTCAGAAGTAGTGGGATGAACGTAAAGGCTGAATAAAATAAAGCGAGAAAAGCCACACCGCACCTTGTGCTCAGCTGCTGCTACTGCTGCTGCTGTCAACACACCGACCTCATGCTTCAGCCGCCATTTTGTACCGCAAACACGCAGCCAATAAGAGCGCCGACTTTGTTCTTCACTGAGGCTACGGCACGCCGACCTCGTGCTTCAGCCGCCATTTTGTGCCTCACACAAGCAGCCAGTAAGAGCACCATTTGGTGTTTGAATATCTTAACACCGGGAAGATGACGTGCTACAGCAACAGCTGGGTCCACCAGCAACAGAGGCCTGTTGAAACATCAAAGGGGCGCCGATGCTATAATTGCAAACCAACTTAGGCAAATCTTTTGCCGACTGCCCCATTGCCACGTAGACCTCGCATTTGTGGCATCTGTAAGCGGGAGGGACATGGTTCTTCGACCTGCCCCGAAACGGTCACACCAGAGTGGACATTCTGAAGCTACATATGCAAGTCAACACCACGAGTCAACCCACACCAAATGTAGTGAAATTTACCAAACCAGCGTAGGTCGATGGTATCAGTTTGGAAGCGACAATTGACCCAGGAAGTGGGGGTGTGTATGAAGCGATGAAGCGGGCAACTGCCGCCCTATGCTGTCGGGCCGAGGATTGAAGATACAGACACAATGGTATTTAACTTCTGCAACGCAGAGTCGGCTGCAACCACCATACAAGGAAAGGCTGACTTGGAAATCAAAATTGATGACGTTCAGGGGAACAAATAGAACCGTCCTTGTCGTGCCAGACATCGCGCAACCGGTGGATTTGTTGGTTGGACGTACATGGCCTGTGCAGGCCCAAAATGCCTACGTCAGCATCGACGACCAACTTAAGATTGGCTACCGAAACGAGTCACCTTTCAACCGGTTCTAAATTGGCAATAATCCGAAGCGCCGCGCCCTTACTTGCCACTCTGCCAAGACACACGATGAACTGGATCATCACACGCGCTTCAGTCACAGAAGAATCTACGATAGTCATTAACGAGGATTGAGAAATGCGGCAACATTTTTTCAACTCTCAGCTGGGGGTGGGGGGTCACGCGCAGAGCTCCCCCATCATACATTCAATTTGTCATTAGGTCAAGATCTGCAAGGGAGAAACCTTGGGACGTGAAGAGATCATCCAGACTATTTGCAATATTGTGACACCTAAAGAGGAGAACCCATGAACATCACCATCACCACCAGCATGACCATCAATCACCATCAACACCACCATCACTAACACCATCACCACCACTATGACCATCATCACCATCACCATCAACAATACCATCACCACCACCATGACCATTACCACCACCAGGACCATCATCAACACCACCATCACCAACACCATTACCACCACCATGGTGGTCGTGAGTGTGCGTGGCGAGTGTGTGGTGGTGAGTGTGTGTGGTGAGTGCGTGGGGGTGAGTGTGCGAGGTGGTGAGTGCGTGGTGGTGAGTGTGGGTGGTGGTGAGTGCATGGTGGTGAGTGTGCATGGTGGTGAGTGTGTGGTGTCCTCACCGGTGAGTTTGGATAGCGGTAAGCGTGGCCCTGGCGCTGTAGGCCGCAGACGGCAGCACCAGAGTCCCTGAGTGGGCCACGCAGCCCAGGAGGCCGGCGACGAGGCCGAAGCAATGGTAGAGTGGCACGGGCAGCGCCACACGCACGTCCTGCACACAGCACGGTACACACACAGCATGATACACACACACAGCACGGTATACATATGTAGTGAGTCCAACTGAGTCGCAGACGTTATTCTTTAAAGGCAACACATATATTTAACATCAACACGTTAACACAAAGGGGTCACTGCCCCTTTACCCAATACAGCCTAGGGTGGTGACCACCCAGCTAGCTACACTACACATAGCAGTTACGGCAACGAAGGGTCGGACCCTCACTCGGGTCCCCGACCACGTGTTGGTGCCTTGTAGGACGTAGAGCTTCCAGCTTGTAGACGTGGAGCTTCCATCTTGTAGAGCGAAGCGACCCCGGTCCCTCTCAGGGACCCACCGTATATCCTTCAGGGTCAGGGCCGCTCCGCCCTCGGCCCCGCCCGCCTTCTCGAGTGTTCCAGCTCCTTCTCGATCCCTCTCGAGAGCTCTCCCTGGACATGTGCTCACCCCCCAGCCCCTTCCCCACCTGGGGGCCTTCTCTGTGGTCACTCCAGGTCACGTGTCTACGCGGGTCAACCAGAGTGCCATGGCCCGGGGCAACCCTGCCCCTTGGCCGACACTCTCCCACTCCCCCTTGTGGGAGCTCGCACTACACGCTAAGCGTGGTGCCTGCGCTATCCCAGCGCTCACCAAGCCCCGCTAGGGCTGGTACTACACCCGCCTACGGGGTGTACGCCGTGCTGTGCTAGAGCTGGCCTCACACAGCAACCCACACGGTGCTGTCCGCAATGTAGGGATATCGCACGCCACGGCCCTCCCGGGCCGGCACCATACAGTGGCATCCCCGATGTCACTACACATACAGTACACCACACATCGTGTGCCTGACATCTTATGGTCACGTAGGCAGTCTGCACATAGACGCTACCCTCCCTCAGCATTTTGCCTGGGGGATCATCTCTGCCCGGCGTTTTTCCTGGTCTCAGACTCCGGATCGGCCCTCGCACTTCCTCAACAGATGGCACCTCAGCCAGCCACTCTGAAGGGGTGAGGAAAAAACATTTGAGGCACCGCAGCCCCAGCAGGATTGTTCCCACCTTGCCCCATGATGTTGTCTGGGCTGAGGGAATTCCTCTCCCCCAAGACGTCACAAAAATGCTCTTCAAACCTGCAGACCACCACCACTATAACCACCACAACCACTCTAAACACCAGAACCACCACAACTACCACCACTATAATCATAACCACCACTATAAACACCACGTCCACCATCATTATAACCACCATCACAACCGCCACTACCATAACCACCACCACTATAACCACCACCACTAGAACCACCACCACCACCACTGCTATAACCACCACGACATTAACCACCACCACTATAACCACCACCATAACCACCACCACTAGAACCACCACCATAACCACCACCACCGCCACTACAAACACCACGCCGGACTCACCCTCCAATGGTACCCCATGCGCTCCCCCAGGAGGTGGGCGTTGTTGAGGATGTTGTGGTGCGTGAGCGTCGCTCCCTTTGGCTGCCCCGTGGTTCCCTGGGGGGGGCGGGGGGACGATATGGGGAGTGGGAGGGGAGAGGCATGAACCCGCACTTGGCCCAACGACAGCCTGCGTGGGCTACGTGGGGCACCTTTGTCTTTGTCAGCGTTGCTGCTGCTGCGCTCATACTAAACTGGTGGTGGTGATGGTGGTGGGGTTGATGGTGATGGTGGGGTTGATGGTGGTGATGGTGGTGGGGTTGATGGTGGTGATGGTGGTGGGGTTGATGGTGGTGATGGTGGTGGGGTTGATGGTGGTGGTGGGGTTTATGGTGGTAGTGTGGTGGTGACGGTGGTAGTGTGGTGCTGATGATGATTATGGTGGTGATGGTGTTGATGATGGTGGTGTTGATAATGGTGGTAGTGGTGATGACGGTGGTGGTGGTGGTGATGGTCATACACGGGGAGCGGTAGTGAAGCGGTTCCTGTGCTGCGCTATGAACCTGCCGACCCGAGTTCGATTTCTGCTCACGGCCAATGCCGGTGAGGAAAATCTACATTGGTCCTGGGCCTCCCCTAGGTCGACTAGGCCTCAAATAAGTACCTGGTGCAGTGTGTAGTAAATTAAACTCGAAACTACCAGGTAAGGGCCCACTGAGCTATGCAGCTCTTTTTCAGAAGCGACCTGGCCACAAATAATAGCTCAAGGAAGTGGCCTGCCACGTGCTTCAAATCGCTTTAAACTATTGTCATTGTAGTGCGTATTTAATGTGGCGCTGCACTCTGATGTTGTAGGAGGAAACATTTATTAAAAAGTCTATTTAATTAAGTAGAACGTGTTGTCTATATTTATTTAAAGTTGTGCATTTTGATGTGACGTCACATTTCTCAACCCCCCCCCCCCATCGTCACACATCGTCACAAATGTCTGACCCCCCCCTAGGTGCGTGACGTCATTTATGGACGGCCCCTAAGGCCTCTAGTTTGGAGATTAGGATGGAGGGCAGTATGGTATTAGATGCTGAGCTGTAATTGATGAACAGCATTCACACATAGTTACCCTGCTTCACCTCCAGGTGGCACAGTGCCTTATGCAATGTAATAGCAATAACGTCAGGAAGGGAGGTGGTTGATTGCCTCGCAGCTTATTGTCCTTTGTAGTTTGTGATGGACTGTGATCCGCGCCACAGGCTCCTAGAGTTGGAGTCACGGTACAGGGCCTCCAACTTGTCCCTGAATTGTCTCTTGCCCGCCTTGATGGCTTTTCGGACCGCGTATTTGGTCCTCCTGCTTTCAGTGGGGTCTCTGGAATTGCATGCTCTGTGTTGGTCCTTCAGTGCTGCTTTGACTGCCGCGTTTTTAACTCAGGGGTTGTTATTTGGGTAAGAACGGACAGTCTTGGTTGGCACAGCAACGTCCATGCAGAACATAATATGACCTAGCACTGTCGATGCAAATTCCCCCACTCTGTTGTAGGCTGCATCCCTAAATATATCCCAGTCTGTATCCTCCAGGCCATCCGTGAGTCTGTCCCTGCTTCTCTGACCAGCATTGGACTATTCTTGTAGTGGTAGTCTGTCTCTTTAAGAGAGGGCAGTACTTTGGCACCAGCAAGATGACGGGATAAGATGACATGGTGGTCGGACTTCCCGAGCAGTGGGCGGAGGAATGACTTGTAGGCGTCTTTCAGCATTGAATAACAGTGATCCAAGATGGCGTCTCTTCTGGAGTTAAATTTCACATTTGGTAAAACTTTGGGAGTGCACTCCTAAGGTTCGCTTCGTTAAAGTCCCCAATTACAATCACAGCAGCGACCGGATGTTTGGTTTCCAGTGCAGAGATTGTTTTGTGGAATAGGTCCATAGCCGGCGTGGAGTTGGCGCTCGGAGGGACGTACACAGCGACTGAAACAATCGCGTGAAATTATCTCGGGAGGTAATGAGGGCGGCATGATAGGATCACAAGCTCTACATCTGGTGAACATGTTACACCAAGATGAGTTGACGATCACACACAATCCGCCACCTTTTGTTCCCCCACTGTCCAAAGTCCGATCGTGGTGAAAAGGAGAGAAGCCTGTTAGCCCGATGGCTGCGTCCGGGATATTTCCATTCAGCCAGCTTTCCGTGAAACACAGAACATTGCAAGTATCGTGTTTCCCGTTAGAATTCGATCCCGGCCCACACATCATCCAACTTGTTAACAAGGGACTGTGCGTTGCGCAAGAATATGCTCGACATTGCAGTACGATGAGGATGTTTTCTATTCCTCATCTGAACGGCGACTCTTCTTCCTCGTCTCGTCTCATGTTGTTGTCTGGTAAACAAAGGGTCGTCTCAGGGCAGGCTGCATTGGGTAAGCAAGCTCTTCTTCCTGATGTCCAATAATGTTTGTCTATCATAGATAATGATCGGACGTTTGATACACATTCTGGTGAAAAAGTTAATAAAATAAATAAACTACAATAAATGACATTAAACGCTAAAATCTAACTGCGGTGAGAGAGCAAGCCGAGAGGCGAGCTGCTGCGTTGAGTGCTACCGCTGGGACTGCAGCCCTGCTAGAGGCTACCTGGGGGAGCTTTGTCTGTGCGTGAATAATAGGTGATGCTACTCGCTACTAAGATCACTTGCCCCTACAGCCCAGCTAGAGGCTACCTGGTGGATCTGTGTCTGTGTGTATATAGCATAGGTGCTGCCACTCGCTACCACTAACAGCACTTGCTCCCACAGACCTGCTGAGGCTACCCGGGTGATCGTCGTCTTTGTACCGAGGTGTACTGGATGTTGATGGGATCGTCGCACGACAGGGCCGAGTGGATCGCGTGGCGCTCCGCCTCCAGGCCCGGGGTGGCGCGGCCTTCCACCTCGCGCACGGACAGAGCCCCGGGACTCGGCTCCCCCTCCCCCAGCGAGATGACGACCCGGAGATCCGGGAGCCTGCCGGGGTGGGTGAGTGAGTGGGTGGGTGAGTGAGTGGATGGGTGGGTGGGTGAGTGAGTGGGTGGGTGAGTGAGTGGGTGGTTGGGTGGATTAGTGGTTGGGTGGGTGAGTGGGTGAGTGGTTGGGTGGGTGAGTGGGTGGGTGGGTGAGTGAGTGGTTGGGTGGGTGAGTGACTGGGTGAGAGGTTGGGTGGGGGAGTGAGTAGGTGGGTGGGGGAGTGGGTGAGCGAGTGAGTCAGTGGGTGGTTGACTGTGCGGGAGAGGGGGTGGGTGAGTAATTTTGTGCGTGAGTGGGTGAGTCAATTGGTGAGTGAGTGGGTGAGTCAGTGGGTGAGTCAGTGGGTGAGTCAATTGGTGAGTGAGTGGTGGGTGAGTGAGTGGGTGGGTGAGTGAGTGGGTGGGTGAATCAGTTGGTGAGTGAGTGGGTGAGTCAGTTGGTGAGTGAGTGGGTGAGTCAGTGGGTGAGTCAGTGGGTGAGTCAATTGGTGAGTGAGGGCGTGGGTGAGTGAGTGGATGGGTGGGTGAGTGGATGGGTGGGTGGGTGAGTGAGTCAGTGTGTGTTTGCCTGTGTGGGTGAGTGGGTGGGTGACCGGGCAGAGTGGAGGTCTCCAGGGCAGCTGGAGGGCAGCTCAGGGCAGAGCTGAGTCAAGAGGTCTAGGTAGTTGCGACCCTTAAACTCCACCGCAGAGACGATCCCCTTGCAGCCAACCTGCACATCATCACCACAATCACCACCACAATCACTACGACCATCATCATCGCCATCACCACGACCATCATCATCGCCATCACCACCACAACCATCATCAACACCACCATCATCACCACTACCACCACCACCATCATCACCACTATCACCACCACCATCATCTCCACCACCACTACCACCATCACCACCACCACTACCACCATCACCACCACTATCACCAACCTCACCACCATTACCACCCTCACCAACTCCACCACCATCACAATCACCTTATCAACATCACCACCACCAACACCACCACCACCCCTACCACCACCACCACCTTCATCAACACTACCACTAACATCCGCACCAAAACTATCACCACCACCACTACCACCATCACCACCACTATCATCACCACCATCATCACCAACTGCGCCACCACTGCCACCATCACCTTCTTGAGGGCGAACTCCAGCTCCTGGGGTTGGTACGCCGGGTTGATGTTCACCTGCGGCACGGACGCCAGCACCACGGTGGTTAGAGTGGTGGTGGTGGTTGTTGTCGTGGCTATAGTGGTGGTGGTGGTAGTGGCTATAGTGGTGGTGGTGGTAGTTGCTGTAATGGTAGTGGTTGTGGCTGAGTGGTGGTGGTAGCTGTAGTGGTTGTAGTGGTGGTGGTTGTGGCTATAGTGGTGGTGGTGGTTGTGGCTATAGTGGTGGTGGTGGTTGTGGCTATAGTGGTGGTGGTTGTGGCTATAGTGGTGGTGGTGGTTGTGACTGGAGTAGTGGTTGTGGCTGATGTGGAGGTGGTTTTAGCTGTAGTGGTGGTGGTTGTTGTTGTCTTGGCTGTAGTAGTGGTGGTTGTCGTGGCTATAGTAGTTGTAGCTGTAGTAGTGGTTGTGCATATAGTGGTGGTGGTTGTGGCTATAGTGGTTGTGGCTATAGTGGTGGTGGTTGTAGTGGTGGTGGTTGTGTCTATAGTGGTTGTGGCTATAGTGGTTGTGGCTAAAGTGGTGGTGGTTGTGGCTATAGTGGTTGTGGCTATAGTGGTGGTGGTTGTAGTGGCTATAGCGGTGGTGGTTGTGGCTTTAGTGGTGGTGGTTGTGGCTATAGTGGTGGTGGTTGTAGTGGCAATAGTGGTGGTGGTTGTAGTGGCTATAGTGGTTGTGGCTTTAGTGGTGGTGGTTGTGGCTACAGTGGTTGTGGTGGTTGTGGCTATAGTGGTGGTGGTTGTGGCTATAGTGGTTGTGGCTATAGTGGTGGTGGTTGTGGCTATAGTGGTTGTGGTGGTTGTGGCTATAGTGGTGGTGGTTGTGGCTATAGTGGTTGTGGCTATAGTGGTGGTAGTTGTGGCTATAGTGGTTGTGGTGGTTGTGGCTATAGTGGTGGTGGTTGTGGCTGCTGTACCAGCACGATGCCCGCGCGCGCTGCGGCCAGCGCAGTGAGCGCCCACTCGACCGAGTTGGGGCCCCAAATCCCCAGGCGGTCGCCACGCGTCACGCCCAGAGCCAGCAGGCCCGCGGCCATGCGGTCCGCCTACAACCACAACCATCACCGCCAGAACAACCATCACCATCACAACCACCACCACCTCCACAATACTAATACCTGACATTTGCCACGAAGTGACTGTGACGTCACCACGGCGCCTGTGCCAGGCCAGGTGCACTTGTAGGCCACGTGAAGAGTCGAAGGGTCGTTGACAGGAGGTCAAGGGACAGACCAAGGTTCCATGGGTTGGCTGACTGAGATGACTGGTGGATGCATCAGCTGTATCCCCTACTGTGGCAACTTGCTGGATTTTAGCCACCCGGTGCTCCGCTCGTTGTTGTGAGCGTCGCTCCTCTTCCCTCAGTTGTTGTTGTAGGGAGACTGCCTCCAACTGACCAGTAGCAGCGTCCTTCCCGAGCCACCTCCATAGAGGCCGATCTTGACACTGCTGGTACCAGTCTTCACAAAGTCCACTCAGCTCCACATCATTCCGTACTGCATCATTCTACCTCTTCTCCAGTTCATGTGGTGCCCGTTTAGCTGCTTGGGCATGCGGTGGCTGGGCATGCGGGCTACATGACCCAGCCAATGCACCCTTGCCTCCCAGAGGAGCTCACTGATGGGAATGTGTTCAGATCGTTCAGGGATTTGTGAGCTCCTCATACAATCCAGCCTGCAGGTCAAACCCAGGATGAATCGTAGTCAGACCAACCTGAATGTTTATAACCGGCGCAGATGTTCCATTGGAGGGGTCCACTTTTCACAAGCATAGAGAAGGGAGGGCAGAGCAACACGCCAGGTAGCTTCCACACACCATTACGCAGCCGAAGAAAAGATAATGCCTCCCGACTGATTCGGAGTGAGACCTCTGCTGTCAAACCAGAGCAGGTCATGAGCACATTGCCCAGGTGTGGGAAATGTGGTGCCACGACTGCGGAGCAACTCCACAAGCACCAGGCAATTCTATCCTGGCCCCGGCACTAAACACACACCCGCACGCAGTGCACCCACGTAGTGCCCTGGCAGGGGATTGCCTGGCACATCGGGTTTTAATCCAAAGGGCCCCTAGAGGGAAAGTCCCACGGTTTCCCGGTGCCAGGAGATTGGCCAACTCTCGCAGGGCAGGTTACATTGCAGTGGCCCTAAAATTGGTTTCAAATTGTATGGGTGCAGAAAGAAAAGGTTCCCTGGGACAACCGCAATGAAGTACAACTCGGGGGGGGGTGGGGGAGAACGGAGGAAAGAACTCTGAGCAAGGCACAATGGGTGGCCGCCGGTAACAGAGGCGGTGGGGGGCGGTAACCACAGGTAAGCACACAATTGGCTGCGCGGTACGATGTCACCCTGGGCCTTTGAAGTTTATAGAATATGCGTTTCGGTCTCTTGTCTTCAACCTTCGGGCCGTCAAGACCCACTCCCTGCCGTCCTGCCTCCTCGAGCCATTCGCAGTATCCGTGTGATGCCAGCGAGTGCTGCTGCGAGACGGTGATGGGTCAAGTCTTCTCTCGAACTTCTCCCTCCGACTCTCTCAGCGTCCGTGGGACGCCGTGAGTCCAGCTTCGAGGTACGTGGTATGACGTTTGAGTAACTGGGTTTGTAGGCAGAGTTAGGCTAAGCTCTTCACGCGAAATACCCCCCTCCCCCAGGTATTTGCGCCGGTAATAAACTTTAGTACAAAGTGTCGGCGCAGTGTGATTTGTGTGTGTGGGTGGAACCTCGGTGCGGTGTTGGTAATTTGAGCATGTGTGTGAGGCGCACGTGTATTAAAACATACATGGCCGCCGACACGCCCCTCTTCCCCTTCACCCCTTCCCCCCTTCGCCCCCTCCCTCTTCGCCCCCTCCCCCGTCTCCCCCTACCCCCTCAACGCCACACCCCCTTCTCCCTTCCCCTCCTTCCCCCCCCTTTACCCCCCCATCCTCTCCCCCATGGCCCCAACACCCCCTCCCACCCTTCCCCCACTTCCCCCCTTCAACGCCCAGTCCCCCCCCCCCTTCGCCAGCCCCCACCACCGCACCCGCTCGAGCAGGTGGCTGTAGGTGAACTCAGTGCGCCGCTCGGCGCAGATGAGGAGCGCGCGCTGGGGCTGGGCGCGCGCCGCGAGCTCGAGGCGCGCGCCCAGCGATGTGCCCAGCAGGGGGGAGCGCGAGGCGCCGTGCACGTAGCTCCAGGTGAGGCGAGCGGGGGTCGCCCCTGCAACACCCCCCACTCCTGCGTCCTCGGCCCCCTCCTCGTTCTCGGGTCCCTGCGCCGGCCTGGGTGGCCCCACATACGCGTACAGACACACACACAGTGACACACAGGCACACACGCAGTGACACACAGGCACACACGCAGTGACACACAGGCACACACACAGTGACACACAGGCACACACGCAGTGACACACAGGCACACACGCAGTGACACACAGGCACACACGCAGTGACACACGAATACCAATATCAATACCTGCCATTCACGACCACGTGACGGTGACGTCACTAGTGGTCCGCCTACAACCACAACCATCACCGCCAGAACAACCATCACAACCACCACCTCCACAATACCAATACCTGCCATTTGCCAGGAAGTGACTGCGACGTCACCACGGCGCTTGTGCCAGGCCAGGTGCACTTGCAGGTCATGTGAAGTGTCGAAGGCTCGCTGACAGGAGGTCTCAGGACCCACCCAGGTACCATGGGTTGGCTGACTGAGATGACCGGTAGATGCACCACCAGCTGTACCCCCTCCTGTGCCAACTTGCTGGATTCTAGCCGCCCAGCGCTCCGCTTGTTGTTGTGAGCGTCGCTTCTTTGCCGTCCGTTGTTGCTGGAGGCCTCAAACCGAACCAAGTAGCGTCTTTCACAGCCTTCTCGATAGAGGCCGATCTTGATACCGCTGATACCAGTCGTCGGCAAGTCCACTCAGCTCCTTATCCTCCAGTACCGCATCAGTCTGGCTCTTCTCCAGCCCATGTCGTGCCCATTCAGCCCCCACTATGCAGCCAAACAGAAGCTGATTGAATCTATATTAGAAGTTTTCGTGACTGCAGGGATCTATACTCTTTGGTTATTTCGGTAAAGTAACTTAGGTTTAAAATAAACCAAAGAGTATAGAAGCTGATTGGGCATGCGGTGGCTGCGTATGCGGGCAACATGACCCAGCCAATGCAGCCTTGCATGCCGGAGGAGCTCACTGATGGGAATGTGTCCAGATATTTCAACGATTTGTGAGCTCACACAATCCAGACCAGGTAGCTTCCACACAGCATTGGGTAGCCGATGAAAAGATGATGCCGCCGGACTGATTCGGAGTGAGACCTCAAACCGGAGCCGGTCATGATCACACGGTCCAGGTATGGAAAACTCTCCACTCTCTCCACAACTGCACCATCATCAATGGGGAGCTGAGGGGGGTAGGTGTCCAGCACCACACCCGGCCGCCTTTATCTCCCCAGTGACGAGGTTTTTACGCACTACACGAGGTACTCATTAAAGCTGAGTCGAGCTAGGGGAGGCCCAGGACTGGTTCAGATAATCGTCACTGATGTTGGTCGTAAGCGGGAATCGAACTCGGGTTCCGGCTCGTAGAGCAGCGTGCTAACCGCTACAGTGCCACTCATTCACCACCACTAAACTTTGTTCAAAAACACAAGGCAAAGACAAATCTGGACAGACTGTAGGGGAAAGTGCTGTTAGTGAGCACCATGAAGGCTGGCACGGCACACGAGGAGGTGAGTGGCCAACACCAGGCCCGGCCGCCTTTGTCTCCCCAGTGGCGATGTTTACACACCTCCCCAGGTACTCATTTGAGGCTGAGTCGACACACAGACACACACATAGACACACATAGTGACACACACACAGACAAAGACAAATATCCTCCGTATAGCCTTAACAGACTGCTGGGGCAAGTGCTGTTAGCGAGCAGCATCTATGAACGCTGGAACGGCACACAAGGGGGTGGGTGGCCAGCACCAGATCTGGCCGCCTTTGTCTCTCTAGTGGCGATGGTTACTACACTGCACTAGGTACACAGGACCGCTTCAGATAATCGTCACTGGTGTTGGTGGCCGTGAGCGGGAATCAAACTCGGGGGTGCTTCGTTCATAGCGCAGCGTAGCGCTACCGCTACACCACCGCTCCCCCCACACGCACAGACACACACACACACGCAGAGATTTCAAAGGTCATCGAGCGTGCCTGTAGACCAGGGGTGGGGAACCTTTTTTCTGCCAAGGGACATTTGGATATTTATAACATCATTCGCGGGCCATACAAAATTATCAACTTAAAAATGTGCCTGTTTATATTTGGTCAAACATTTAATTAACTCACCATTAATGCGATGGGCTGGATTTGCTTCTCTTTGGTGAGGCGTGTGATGTTAGCTGGTATTGATGATGTTGCTACTCGCAACTGCTTTTCCAGGTTTGCTCCTAGATTTATTGAATTTCGAGTCCCGCCTGTGGTTGCCTTGGCAGGGCCACACCAAATGATTTCGCGGGCCTCATACGGCCCGCGGGCCGGACGTTCCCAGAGGTCGCAAGCGGGTACCCGATATACCCGTACCCTACCCGATACCCGGCTACCCGTACCCGGCCGGGTACGGGTACCCGTTTGCGGGTATGGGTATCCGTTTGCGACCCTGGTGCGGCCAGGTACAGGTACGGGTAGGCCGTGAGTCACTGGTGAGTAACCGTTTGTCACTCATTTCCCAACGTCTTGTCTCTTCTCACAATTCAAGTTCCTAGAATCAACCCACCTGTGCCTGCAACATGGCTTCATCCCAGAGGTCGCAATCGGGTACCCGATACCCGTACCCTAATCGATACCCGGCTACCCGTACCCGGCCGGGTATCGGGTAAGGAATCAAAACCCGTTTGGGACCTCTGCCCCTGCCTGAGTGTAGAACCTGCACACGGACCCATTATCGAGTCTCGCCAATCGTCTCTACGCTCCCGCGCGTCAATGAGTCGGCTCGTGACCCCGTGCTCTGTGGCGCATCGTGACGGGGTCCTGTTGAACACTCCGACCTCCCAGAATCAGAAACAGAAGCTGTATTCATACAGTACAACCCCCTCCTCTCAAGGACGTTGTTTCCATGAGACGGGTCGCGTAGTGATTCGGTCGTTAAGCGAGTATCGGGAAATACATGTCATAAAGGCTTTATATGTTCCAATAGTATCGAAAGTTACACCTTTATCATCCAAAAAAACTTACTTTATAATATGTAAACAATGGATATTAATACATAAGGATACTAACGACATTATAATCACATAATATTAAAATAAACACGGTTTATTCATGCATTCATTAATACTTACTGTACATACAACAGCCCATCGTTAACAGGGGAACAGTCGATAAGCTAATACATTGAGCTCTATGGAGGCACTACACTACTATACACTATCCTACCATACACTACACTATACGCTACACTAATATACACTACACTATACACTACACTATATACTACTATACACTACTATACACTGCGCTACTATACACTACACTACGATACACTACTATACACTATCCTACTATACACTACGCATCTATACACTATACACTACTATACACTGCGCTACTATACACTACACTATACACTACACATCGGGCTCTATGGAGGCCCGTCGTTAAGCAATTAGTCGTTAACACGGGTGGCTGTTAAGAGGGGTTCTACTGTACTTGAGGAATCCGATGAGCTATAAAACTTTTTTTCACGTCCAGTCGGGGCACGGGGTAAGAACATTACAACAACAACAGACGATACAAAAACAAGAGAGTGATGCAAAGTTCAAGAAAGGTAAACAAATCACCCGAACCTGTACAAATACAACGCTAAACCACCCCCATCATACCAGACAAAGCCCATGGAGGTATGAAGTTATTTTTCAGAAGCGACCTGGCCACAAATGAAACTCAACAAAGTGGCCCCATCATTTGGACATGTAGAGCGGCGAAATCATCGAAATAATCTCAATGCATGCTCTTTGTTTTTTTCGGTAAAGTCACGTATAGGTAGAAAAACAATAACAGATCGCGTCGTTTCGATCGCAACAACAAGCGACCGTCTTCAGGTGACTTTACCGAAAGAACCAAAGAGTATGGATTCCTGCAGTCACGGAAACTTCAAACCAAGAATCTCAATGCATTTTTTCTAAATGTGGAGGCAAAACCCGGAGGACGCGCAGACAAAATCCACACAACCACGGGGAGAGAGGAGAGAGACATAAAAATCCCAAATATACAGCAGGCGTCAGAGTCGGGATCGAACCCCCGACATCCTGCACACCAGGCAAGGAAGATTACCGCAACTTAAAACACATTCCTGCGGAGGGAGCTGGTAGGAACGTTGGGTTGCTCGGTCAATGGCCAGGGTCAACGGCGGCGTGGCGTATTCCGCAAATATGGCCGACTGTGAGGGCGGGCACAAGCCGGCGTGAGTAGGTTAAACGTTGAGTTTTATAAGGGCACCACGGGGTGACCAGCCCCTCCCCACCCAGCCCCACCCCTCCCACCCCCCACCCAGCCCCACCCTCCCCACCCAGCCCCTCCCCACCCTCCCCTCCCCCTCTGACTGTGGAGACCGCTGGGATGCTCGTCCACGCATTAATCGTCAGCTGCGTGGACTACTGCGACAACAGCCTCATCGGCTGTGCCATAGCTGTCCACCTGCGGCCACTCCAGTCGGTGTTAAATGCTGCAGCTCGTCCGATAGTTAGGACACAGTAATATGGTCCGATCACGAGTTTCATACGTGATAATTACAACCGACATCTTCAGGCGGACAGCCAGATTTGTGGCGATCTACCCCCCCCCCCCCACCAAAAAACCCCCTGTATTATGGATACACAAAGATAGCTCGTTGAGTCAGAGCAAACAGGCAGCCTCGTCCAGCCAGAGACGCAGATACAAAGGTCTCCTCCCATATAACTCCTCGGTTATGCGCAAGTCAAAGGCAAAGCACCCCCCGTACAGCCTATAACAGACTGTTGCGGCATGTGCTGTTAGTGAGCAGCACCTACGAAGGTCGACACGGCACACGCGGGGGTGGTGTGGGCTGCACCACGCCTGCCCAGCCGCCTTTGTCTCCCCAAGCGATTACATTTGCATATCGCACCAGGTACTCATGTGAGACTGAGTCGACCTAGGGGAGGTCCAGGACCGGTACAGAAAATCTTCACTGCCACTGGTGTTGGTTGGTGGAGGCCGTGAGCGGGGATGGAACTCGGATCGCTCGCTGGGTTCATGACGCAGCG